ACCATGACAATCGTCAACTAATGAGTACTTACTATTAGCGATTGCCTCGGTTTCAACCGGGTCACCAACTGCGGTACCAGTTCCGTGGCATTCAAAATGCGCCGTTCTGCCAAAGTCCTCGATGCCTGCGGTGCGGTAGCATTCCCGAATTGCTGCCTCTTGCCCATATGGGCTAGGGGCGAACATGCTGCCGTCGCCCACGCCGTCGTGGTTGCTAGATGTTGAGCGAATGATGGCTCGAATAGGATTTCCATCCCGTACGGCAGCGTCAAGTTTCTTGATGTAGAGCATGTTAAAAGCTTCTGCCCGACAGTACCCGTCTGCCTCAGCATCAAATGTGCGGCAGGACTGGTTTGGACTCAAGACTCCAGCTTGCTCCATGGCCAACGTTCCTAATCCTTGGTCAGTCTCACTGCAATGATGTAACTCAAAAAAGGGGTACGCTTACCAGTTGGCGTCAGGAGCATGTTGGCTCCTCCGACGATAGCAGATGTGGTACTACCATTTCGAATATCTGTGCAGGCAAGGTGAAGAGCGACAAGGGCTGATGAACATGCCGTCTTGACGACTAAACTATTCTCGGGGTTGGCTCGAAGGCTCAAAAGGGGCTTCCACGGAAGATGAATGGCTTACCTTGGGCCTCTAAAGTCGTACTCGAACGATATCTTGTTAGCCATCATGAAATCGGAGTGGCTTTGGACAGAGGCCAAGCCGGCCTCTAGTTTATCTCGAGTCTGCAGCTCTTTCCAGTCATCGCCCCAGGTGCCAATGTAGCACCCAATCTGCTTTCCACGCCACCCAGCTTCGCCGGCATTCTCTAGCGTTTCTCTAGTTGGAGAAATATGGTCAGCAAATCCATACAGCAATGGAACCAAGACTCGTGGGAACATACCTTGTGACTTCCAACATGACACGGTGTTGGGGATCCAGCTTCTCGATCTCAGCTCTCGACATCTTGAACGAAGATGTGTCCACCTTGCTAAGATCAACATCATCGAGGAAATAGCCATATTTCTTAGATTTCCCCATGAATGCTTCAGCATTGTATCTGTCTGATGGAATTTCCCCCCGGGTATCGACTTTGTTCACCAGCAGTTCCCATAGTTGCTCGCTGGTTCTGACGTTTCCTGGTAACCTCATGCCCATGCCACAAATAGCAATTGGCTCGTGCGTATCATGACCTGCCTCTAAGCCAGTCGGCGTGGAAGCCTGTTTGCTAGATGGCGGATGACCCATGTCAAAGGGATAGGTCAGTTTGGCATCGAAAGCCGCGGAGGTTTTGAGCCCCTCCGCTTCCGCCAGGTTCTGACTCCACAGGCTGAAGTCCTCATGATGGGTATCGCTCACAGCAACCTCCATGCTGCCTCATGAAACCAAATTAACAAGTTTGAATGCAAAAATGACGCCAAGCTAAAACTACCTAGAGGAACATGGGCTCCTTTTGTACGGAGCAGTAGAATCAACGGCGATAACTGCCATGTGGATCGTTCGATTGTGTCCTCTCGTGGCCACAGGCCAACAGTAAGCCCAAAGTGTCATAGCTTAATGGTTTGCAAGGGTAGCGAACACCCCTCAGGAAGCGTATCCCTGTGATTCGAGCCACGAGAGATATCTCGACGCTAAACACGCTCGAAAGTCTACGTCCTGATAGGCCGGGCTGGGGAGTAGGGACATATCTCGTGGCCGTTGGTGATGTGTTGATGCAGTTGGCCGCAGGAACCATACCATGTATGCGGACTTTCCAGTCCCCTACCCACAAGCAACCAACTTGCCTGACGCCGTTGGTCCCATCACGACATCCAGGGAGCCCTCTCGCCGCTTGTAGCACGGACTTACTCAAGCAACGGCCCCATTGTTATCCAAATTGCATCCTAGCGCTAGGCTGACGAATCTGGGCCCACCGGCAGGGCCCCAGCATGGCATGTAGGTCTGATGGTTGGACAGAGACTCTCTACACGCCCTCTGTGCTGATGCCATTGCAGGGAGCGCCGGGAACCATTCAGGCTTTCTTGAACCGGGCTCTCCAGGTTATCCGCACGCAGGCCTCATCCCCACGCCTCCTATATCAAAAAGAGCTCAGATTTCCGCCTGACTTTTAACGCCAAGCTCGGAGCAGGATTCTGGGCCAGTCCCTCCGGCAATGCTACGCTAGTCAAGCACTGTGTGGACTTGGCTGCGGCGAAATGTGGGTAGAGGGACTGGGGAGTGTTAAATCCCGGTACCTGGGTCGACAACGGGGTTCTGGAACAGAGTGGATGGACACAAACAGTCGAATTACGCCGGTTTCATGCACACCTCAAGTAGTCCCAACAGCTCGGCCCCTTCTCCAAGTTGAGTGCTACGGTAGCTTCCATCCCTTTGATGGCTGCTCCGAGAATGGTTGCATAATTCCGATCAGTTAAGGTACGTGCCATGTTGAAAGTTGAAATTGGCCATTTGGCTATGTAATCTTACCAGAGAACTCATTTGCCATCCGTCACAAGCAAAAGTTCTGCATCCCGGCCAACGAACCCAGTGACTACCCAGTGACTATGTACTGGGTATCTCCGGGCTATGCTTGCGGGAGAAGGGGTCAACTCCTTGTATATTTCCAACCGCCCCATGTAGTTCCTAGTGGTCTGGTTTCTAAGATCCTCGTAATACTCAAGATACCGCAGAAACGCGCCTTGTGGGGGTTAGCGGCCAGTCCGATAGTCTCAAGTTGGTGCGGGTCAAACGTCCCGATATCACACGATTCTGTGCAGCAGCCAGGTATATTTTCCGCAAGACGCGTGATGATTGCTTTTTCTTGAATCTCCAGGGATCTCACGTGTGCTTTGCAGCTGGTTCCCGCTGTCTCGCATTCAGCCGCTCCTAGACGAACGGCCTCCTGATACGATGCCAAGCTGCCAGTATGAAAATTAGGCGTCTTACCGCTCCAAACCGCGAGAAATAGACCAAAGCTCATTACGCCAGTTCACCAATAGCGGTTCTTAGTCAGACCCAGTTTAGGAAAGGTGTCGCGGGGGCAAATTGTCCTCAGTTGGCCAGCGTGGCTTGCGTGGGGTCTTATTTCCAAACAGCGGTTCCTCGGCACATCTTACGTATATGGGATAGTCAACAAAGCGGGACGGTGAGTGGGGATAACTTGACACAAGCCCGTCAGGAGAAGGGAGACTGGAGGCTGGAGCAAGGGCTCCCCCAGGGTAACAGCAGACAGAAGCAGGAGGTCGCCAGTTTACCCGGCAGCTTGGTCTTCTCCTCGTGCAATATGCACTGATGCAGAGAGAGTACGACTCTATTTCTTACAGTTACCATGCACTCTTCCCATCAAAGTCGCATTGGATCGTCAACATCCTCGTCGAGTGTCCAACTGTAACCCAATTGTGATTACAGTGAGTGAACGAAACTTGCGGTGAACAGAAACAAAGCACCCAAGTTGCCAAGTTGTGAGGCCACCTGGCCGCATGCGTGACGGGGGAAGTCATGTCGTTGGTGATCACAATCACCACCAACACTCATTGACACCTTGTCTTCTCTCTCTCTCTCGGTCTCTCTCTCTCTGTCCTCTCAGGAGCTGGTTCTCCAACGTTGCTTTCGCTAGGAGGATCCTGGCGAGGCCCCTGCTCCTTGTTGATGCAGCGAGAATGCTACCCTATCCCTGAAGTTCTGGCGGTGGAGCTCGGGACTCTCATCAGGTCTTCGCTGTCCACATGTCTTCGCATTTTGCTCTCTGTGGGGTTCGGTGTTTCTGATCAGGAGAGACTCGCATCCCCTCCGGTAGCTGAACGACTATGAATGGTGTGCTTACCTTAGCCCCGCGCTGGGTGAGGGGAACTTTCCATGGTGCTGTTTGACTGAGCGATGGAGGGGAGAAGGAGAAGCCTCTACTTAATCGGAGACAACGGCTTCTCGGACCGCTTTTTAGGGGTATTTTTAAGCTTAGGGTTCTTGTTGCAGTTAGCGGCGCAGAGATATGTCCAAGTTGGCCTCCGCAGGCCGAGGTCTCATCCTCACAAGCCGCCACTCGAAAGTTCTGCTCAAGTAGGGTAGTAGAATAGCAGATCGTCCTATAGTCCTAGGTGCCATTCCTTTATGTCTGTCTCTGGGAGACTGCAGATCCGCTCCCAGTATACCATTCCTGTTTTTGTCATTCGCGGGTAGATCCCATTTTCAGACAGTCATATGAAGATACCCGGCTGCCGTAATTTGCGAAAGGGGGACAGCTCCGAATGGCTGGAATAGTACCTAGGCTTGCTGAAAAACGCCCGGACCGAGTGAAGGGTTTCTGGTCGCACAAGCACCAGGTTCTGTGCCGAGAACCGAAGGGAGCTAGGGACGGTTTGATTCACGTCTAGCCATGGAGAGAGAAGGCCGAAGAGTTGTTTAATATGTACATTCACGAGCTGCAACTGCGGCAGTTGGGTCCCAACGAGAATATATTAACCCGTGGCTCCATCAACCGGCAGAAGGAGGCATTCATAAAACAGGCTGCATAACAATGCCGACGCATGACCCTGGAACAAGCGCAGTTCCTGAGTGGTTAATATTCGCCGCGGTCACATCGGCAGCTTATTACGTCCTATCAGAAGCCAGAACGAGGTGCTGATTGTCATCACAGTGGTCCGAGTACTACCACAAACCCTGGCTTTATGCTTGGATACTTGACGTATTTGGTGTGTGACATTGCATATACGACTATTCTAGTGCTCCTACGATCTCGACCTTTCAGAAGAGGAAGTCCATCCTTCCCCGGCCTGGCCCGCGAAGCTGGATCTGTAGGATGGACATGCCGGGCTCCCTGCTGCAATGAAACCTCCCGAAGCGTTTCCCTTTCTCTGTGCCATTTTGCCGCCACACGGGATGGGCGTAGGGTTACCCCCTTCCGATCCCTCGTTTGATTCAATAGATGTTTACTCGCTCTTTCCGTGGCCCTTTGCGTTTTTCAGTGTTGTACTTGTTTTCAACTCTGCCGTTTATCCTCGAAAGACGAGCGCGATTGGCGGCGCTCTTTGTCGAATATGTCTTCTTTGCAGGAGATTGCGGCAACACTGCCGGAATGTGCTGTAGGTCTGCATGAGACGCACTTGCGCCGAACATCCGTACTGATCCAATGTGGCTCCAAAGCAAAAATGCATAGCATCAGCCGCCGAGTCAAGCACCTGCGCGCCAACTGACATCGCTTGTTTCTGCAAAGGCCTGGGGACCAGCCCTGCCTCTGCCTGCATCAAGACCACATGTTCGCTTCAAAATACCCTCTGTACGCTGACCAACACGCGCCCTATCCTTGATTGGTTCACCGCTAACCTGGGCGTCATCGTCGCCAGTCACGACCAACACTACCATGACGTTGTGTGGGGTGAGCCCGAAAGTCGACCACAGCTATGTCCCCATCCTTTCTGTCTTCATCGGGCTCGCGGCTATTTTTGTCATCCTGCGTTTCTTGGCGAGGCTTCTCATGAAGATGAAGCTATGGTGGGATGACTGGTTCAACTTTGCTGCCATGGTAGGGGAAAGATGCTCAAAGCACAACCTTATCCCAGACACTTGGTTCTAACAAATGCCGTTAGACATGCTGCATCGCTTTCACAGCTCACGCCTTGCACCGTAAGCTTCCCGTGATTTTTCTTTCTTCTACCTTCATACTAATATGACACACCAATAGTCAAGGCGGGCGGTTGGGGCACCGATATATGGGCGATTCCATGGGATAACCTCGAATACCAATTCCGGGTATGGGGCAATCGCTACTCCTTACCGATAAACAGTCTTGAAGCTAAACATCAATGGAAACTAGGGCTATTACATTCAGGTCCTCATCTATGTCATATCCCGGTTGCTGATACGGATATCATACATCCTCTTCTACCTGCGAGTCTTTGAGCACATGGCACGGCGACTGATTCTAATCACTTTGGCTACTACTATCATCGTCTCGCTCCCGCTTACTATCACGGCCTTCTTTCAATGTACCCCGGTCGATTATTATTGGAGGAAGATTCACCCCGACGCTCACGGAACATGCATCAATGGAGCTGTCTATATCTGGGTGGGATGGAGTATTTTGCTTGTCAATGATCTTTGTGAGTCACTACCCGTGCGTTACGGTCCCCAAATCGGCTTTCTTGCTAATATATTGTATGCTAGGGGTTCTTTTCCTCCCGATTCCCCTCATTTATAAGCTCCAGCTTTCCCTGAAGAAGAAGATCATGGCATCTGTCATGTTTATGGTCGGCGTACTGTAAGAGCAATTCTCCATCCAGCTCAAAGTGGGCAACAAACTAACAGTTCCGATCAAATAGTATCACTGCGACAAGTGTCTACAAATTCTCATTGATCAAGACATTCACAGACAAGTCGAACCCTACCAGTGAGGCTCTTTCTTCATCACACGAGCTGTTTGCCCAGTTTGCTAACCTCCAACTACCCAGTCAACACGGTCATCATGTTTAATTGGCTTGCTATTGAGATCGACTTGAGCGTCATTTGTGCATGCCTTCCATGCATTCCCGTCCTATTCAGAACATGGATCAGCCGACATCTTGGAGCCTCCAAGGGATCCAACAAATACGCCAACGGATACGCGGGGCCAGCCAGCCATTACGCACAGATCAGCGGCACCAAGGGAACCGTTACGAGCTCAACCGATCCGGTAGACCGCATCCGCATGACAACAACCATTCATCAGCAGCTGAGCGAGTTTAACGAATCCGAAGCGAACTTGCCTGGCAACATTGAGCTCCAAACGAGGCCAACGAAGGCACGAGCCAATAACAGTTGGGAATAGTCTTTCAAAACAGTTTTCGTACAGATAGAGAGTCTTCACAGGCCGCCAATTGCTGAGCAAAGTGCTAAGGATGTAATTTATAAATGGGACGCTTGGAAATACGGGGAAACAAGGGAAGGGACTGGAGTGACTGGAGATCTGGGAATCTGGATGGAGGCATAGAGGCTGCGCCTAACATATGGAATGCTCGCTTATGCCCCAATTTACAATAACAAACAACAAACGTGTCGATTCTCCAATGGATTCTAAAGTTCTCTTAAGGTTCTGCTACTCATTCGTAACATAGTACCTAGAAATTTTAGCTACTTGTTGTCCATTTCATCAACTGATCTCAGACTACCTGGCCATTATGCGGACCCGAAATACTTTGGGTAGAGTATTATTATTCGATTGAGTTATAATTCGTGCTTGTAAACGCTATGATCAGTTGTCGTTGACCTTGAAATATCATGGCATCTCTCAATCTCATCGGCGAGCGGCTTGAAGTTTGTCGAGGCTGACAACGTAACCTTTGTGGACTGGTGGATTTCTCCTGGAATGGAGCTCCCATTACCTCTCTTTCTGAATATAACCATGACGAGACATTTCACATTATATGAGCTTCCGACTTGTGTAAGTATTACATTTGCCTATCAATCCGGGCGCGTGCTCAGAATCTGCTTAAGGGAGTCAGACGCATCAGAGAGTGCTTCGAATCGAAAAAACTATGGCATTCCATTACAACGGTTATGGATTGACCCCTATCTTCACCCGGACTTTGCTAACTATCCATGTTGAGGCCTTCATCTATCCGAATTATTTCTTGCTAGGGTCTTCTCCTATCTTGAAGGATCGTTGCCGTGCTTACTTCCGACTGGCTAGATGACTGCCAAGAGCAAAGTACGTACATGGCTTGGCCAGAAGCCCCCAACAAGACCCCAGTAGTTTATCCTAGGATATCCATCGGATCAATCACGGCACTTCTTCTACCCATGAGAGTGAAGCATCGGCGATGAGATTTCAAGAGAATCTCACGACTAGCATCTTAAACACTTCAATCTACGTGTTTATCTGATGACTCTGTGCTCGCCAAAGGCATTCATCAAGGCTCTAGTGGCGTGTCCGCATCATCATGCCATATACCAAAAGTTCTCATCTCGTCGCAATTTCTTGAGCCAAGGGGAGGAGCAACAGGGTTGACTGATTTTCTTTCGATCTCGCCGAGACCGGGGGCTGAGTAATTACCAAGTTATTTCGCTTGAATGGGGGGCCGAAAGTCCCCCTGTGCTGACGATTATGGTCACGGCCCCCTCGTTCAACGAAGCAGGGTTTGATTCACTGGCGAATCAATTCCCTGCGATAATGAATTGATCGTCCTCAGATGACATTGACATCCGAGCAAGTGCGGACTCCTGTCCAACCAGAGTGAATGACCATCTCGCCACCACTACGTAGGATCCATTCTCAAGTCCATCCTTCAATCTCATCATCGTGAGCCAGTGTTATCGAGGAAATGACATTCAATGTATATACATATTTTAAAGCTTATGCACATCCCTACGTCTGGATCGGGCTGAGAGTATCTTGCAAAATAACCGATGATCCTAGAATAGCCATTGAAAATCGAAGGGGTCACTGTATCTTCTTCGTTATCACAATTAAGCGTTTCTGGGGCGAGGTAGTCATCACTTTGAATACCAAACAAAGAACAGCATGATGACTTTCTTTTTATCGGTCCATTTAGATGTTTTTGGAAAATAAATCTATAACATATCTAGTGAACCTCGAAGCTTTTAGATCACATGTAGATATTTCAAGAATGATTAGTACAGTCCCCAGGTGAGCTGTGAAGAACCACACGACGGGATGGCCTGGGTGTGGAATACTACCTATTCTACGGAAGCAAAAATGTCTGTTCCATCTCATGCTCCTCACCTCAGGCTCCTCGCTTGTGGTCATTTCCATAGCAGTCTCGATATGAACCAGGGTCTTTCGAAATATGCATTTGAATGTCAGTCCCCATACCTAGCCTCGGATCGTTACTAAAAATACGTCGCTACAGCTGCAAGATTGCGCTATCAATCATAGATGGCGGGGAAATCTATGGAAGACGGACAGGGTCCTATGCAAGGCTGTCCCAGCTAAAAGTGCATTTCTGCATGTTCATGCTGCTTATATTGACACTGCCGGGGTGAAGACTTACATGCTTCCACCCAGAGCAAAACATCAAATCGACTTCACATCTGTTACTCGAATTACGAGGTGGTTTGCCGGTCTGATCCTCAGATTTACCTTCTTGGGCTCGCTTCTCTTGGGTGGCTCATCAATTTTCTACGTTTTTGGATTTATACACAGAGGAAACAGAAGATTTCTCAAGAATAGTTACAAAATGAAAGATTATAAATATTGAAAGTCTTAAAGAAATAAAAATAAAAATAAAAATAAGAAGAGGTAGTAGTAGACAAGTTCGTTCCCCCACTGTGTGTTGCTTGGGAAGGCTCTTTCTTGCGTATACTCAATGAAAAAAGAGGCGCCCTGTAAGTAATCAAGAGGTCTCTCTAGGTGTCAAATCGGAGGTTTGTTGAGAAGAACAAAATCCGGTTCATGCTCGCTCCAAGCTTACAGCCAATCAAGCGTTCTCTCGATTCGTTTCCTCCTTGGGCTTTTGGTCTTGGCCCGCCTGAGGCGGTACTTGACGAGCAGCACGAACATCCATAGAGCTGAAGCTGAACGGATGGCGTTCAGACGTAACAGGAGACATGGAATCCTGCGCGAACTGCCAATGACTTCTCGGCGGTTGCCCGAAAGACGACTGGCCAGTAGGGGCAATCGGAGTCTTGTCGTCCGTTTCGTATTGCCCTTGGTTGTTTGTAGAGATGGCCAACTTTTCGCCTATTGAGTAACCCCAGCCTTGCTCCCGGGCAATTGGGGTCTGCGGCGTGGCCGGATCGTTCCAGAAGCTTCTCACACTCTGAGGTGTAAGAAGATCTGACAGTAGCTGATGCGTGTTTTGGCCCTGGGGCTGGTGCGTTTGTAGCCGTGTATTGTTTTGCGCAAGACCCTGGTTAAAACTGACAGGCCTGGCCTGCTCCAGGTCTCTCGCCATGCTGTCAAAGAGAGGGCGGAACTGATCGATCTCAGCGCACGAGATGGTAAATGTGCCCTTGGGGACAGTCATTTGGTCTTTGTCCCAGAACTGATCTTTGAGGAGGAACCAGGCTCTGAAAAATTGCCTCGCGCGATCCTCATCCTGTGTCAAAACATACCACCTTGATAACCAGCGAGCGGCTGTCTTCCATTGCACCGAGCCGGCTTTCAGGCTCTTTGCAACCTCCTCATACTCCTTGGGCGTCATGGAAATGGCGGCATTCGGCCTCTCATTAAATTCCCGCATCTCCTCCTGCCCCAGAGTCTTGAGGCGGAATAGCCGTTCGCCAAAGTTGGGCGAGACGGCATTCAGGCTTGGCTGCTGCGTCTGCAGCTGGATCGAAGGCCGCTTGATCTCGGGCGGCTGCTGCTGCTGCTGGTCCGACATTTCTACATCACGCGGGGTCTCTTGGGCCTCCATCCTGGCGACTGGTTGAGCACGGGGGGCGGGATTCCGGGGTGGGTGATCTTGACCAGATTGCTGGGCAACACGCGACGCGGGCCACGGTTTTTTATTACCTTGGGGACAGCTGGCGTAAGAAGACTTAAGTGGGCCTTCCAAAGTCCTGACATGCTCCTGAATTCATGCATCCAGCAGCCAACAGGAGGCTTCCTTCAAACCCCGCCCCATGTCAGCTGATCCTACACCATTGAGTCTCACCACCGCGGATCAACCCTCGGCCCTTGGGAGCAGTGTGTTGGTAGTACCAGTTGCCTGCTGACTGCTGTCTGCGCCCGTCTTTTGAGGCCTACGTAAGTGAACAGGCTTAGACAAACATGTGATGCCCTTTCCAAAGACCAAGATCTATCTAAAACCACTGAAACGCCAAGCGTTTGTGATTGACTCGGGACATGTCTCAAAAAGGTAAGACCTTAAAGAAGGTTTCTATTTTTAGTTGAAGGACCAAACTTTCCCAAACCTTCAATCATCTTTCGATTGGTGCCCAAGAGCAGATCCCGATGCCAAAATTATCTCAGTTCACATTTTACTGCACTTAATGCCAGCTCTTATCGTGTACTAGTGCAGGCGAAGAGCTATCTTACATTGATAAGAAAAATATAGCAAGCTTTTTTCTGCTTGTTTGATAATACATAAGGTAACCAGTGCGTGATGGCAAGATATAGGGTAGCTGCTTCTGACTACGAGGCATCGGCGGGTAAGCCGGAACATCGCTAGAATAAGCATACGCAAGCTTCTTCAACTCAAACAGCCTGCCCTCGGCTTATCCTTTTATTTCAGTCTTCAAGATATGAACGAATATAGCCGTTGATGTGAGAATTCTAAGTGATCTTGTTATCTAACGCTAGACCTCTATAGATTGAATCATATACGACGCGTCTATCAACTTTTTTGTATGCACAATGTACTTTTCTATGATCACATATGCTCCACCAGCTACTCGGGAACTATCTCCCGAATATGGCTCTTACCGAGCTCATTTGTCTGATCCAGCACCTCAACCATCATCTTCCTTGCGGCCGCATGCCGCTCATCGTCCAACCGAGCGAGGCCCATATGCTCCAAAGTGACGCAAATGAGAGACTCCATCAGTCGCAAAGACATTGGGCCCGCTACGCCTTGCTCATAGAAAGCTGGCGTTTCGTTGACCTCCAACAACCAAGCAGAGCCGTTGGAATCAATCAAGAAGTCCACACCAAACAGCTCGAAACAGCTGTCCATCGTGATGAAGCGATCCGACATGGTCTTGGCGGCAGCTTCGAACAAGTCTGCTGAAATGTTGCAGATCTGTTCAAACAGATTCTCCTTCCAATTCTTTCCTTCTTCGCCACAAGGTAGTAGGTCCGCAGGAATGTCCCAGAAGTTTCTCATAGACTCCTTGGACACGAAATCCTCCTCGTCTTGCAACGCGGTATTGGTGAGCGATGACTTGAGGCTTGGGTTCAGCCATGGCGGAGCATAGTCTTCCGAGGCCAATAGCGCAAGCATGTCTCGGAAGACGTGGACCTTCAAACGGCCGATGGAGAGAACATATGCCCGGACATGCCACTTCCTCCTTTCTAGGGGTAGAATGGATGTGATGTAGCGCTGGGCCACAAACTCTCGCATTTCAGATGAAGGGATGCGGCCACCCGCTTTGAAGACGTATGGCTGCTTCTTGGACCCACGAGAGGCGGTGTCAGAGCCTTTGTCAAGTTTCAGTTTGCCCGTCACAGTGATGAGAGCATCCAAGGTGTCGAGGCCTGGGAGTGATAATGATGGGGAGAATCCATTGTCATCGTTGGACGATTTCTCGGTCTCTTCTTCCGAGGACTCCTCTTCTCCATCAGTCTCATACTCGGCGAGCTCAAGATGGCTCGCAAGCTCATCAACAGTGCTGAAAAGTCTAATACCAGCGCCACAATCCACCAGCGCAGGTTTGAGAATCCACCATTCGCGATTATCCGGATTTTTGTCTTCGTTTTCCTCGAGCGAGTAAAGAAGAGCAAGGTCGTCTGCTGCGGTCAATGCGTCGTCCACGTATTCGGCATAATCCAATGACAGACGCACAGTCAGTGGAGAATGGGCGGCGAGAATGCTATTGGGCCTCTTGGTAGTCCAATACTCAATGACTCGTGACAAGTAATTTTTCCTTGACAAGGCGTCGCTGTTGGGGTACGCGTTGATAAGTGCCTTCTCCGCTGAATTGACCAAGGCGAAATTCTCATTGAGCTCCCAACCATCGCAGAATTGGAACACGGTGCTGGCATCCTTGGGGATGTCTTCGAAATCATCATAAAAGATTGCGTCTTTCACATGTCTTCTGATGAAGGTTTTCAGGTGCTCGTTCAGCCACGGCGAGGCTGCCTGGATATACACATGCATCTTGGAAAGTTCTTCCGCTTTCAACACTCGTCCGGAGATGTTAATGAATCTCAGGGGGAAGAGGAGCTCGAAGAATTACGGTGTAGGGAATGAGCCTCTCAGCTTCCATGGATGTATCAAGGGAAGGTGTAGGCATTGAGGAGACGACTTTTTGGATATGTCAATGGCTGCCGAGAATGACAGAATTTTGGTAGCGTTGAGAAATTTCTTTAATTATTTTCACGGCCTTTTGGTCTTTATATATGTTTCCCTACACACCAGGGATCATCGCAATATCTGGGCTCATGCCAAGAGCTGTTGACGGTTTTTGATTATTTCACAACTAGCTGTCCCACAGGAATGCCCAATTTTGGGCACCCAATTGGACAAATTAGAGATCCTAAACGTAACAAGTTGTTAAATGCTCCCTAGATCCTGGTTTTCTAACAGCAGTGAGAAAATTTGGTCCCATGGGCGTTGCTCTCTAATTGACCAATCCACCAGTCCTCATTCGCGGACCCGCTTCCCCATACTCCTGATCACGACACAGATGTTGCATAAGCAGATCGTGATCCTGGTGCGCAAAAAGCGACATCGCATCCGTGCGAGAGAGGATTTTCAACTCATTGGGAGATGAGATTTTACAATTCCTTCTCTCTTGGATTCATAGAGATTCAGGTGACAGTGCAGGAAGATGAAGCTGTATGGGAAGGTGTCTCACTGCAAGAGATAAGGGATAAAAGCCTTTAGACGATAAGAGTATTTTACAACGCTGTAGGTTTCTAAGCGTTGATATCTTGTCAAACACTAGACATTAAGCTCTTTCTTGTTGTTACATAAAACTCATTGGCTCAACTTGGGCGGAACACGGGACTGCATGCAAGACTTGAGGATATTTGACCTGGTTAATAACCACTATCACGCCTGAAGAGAATACTTATCATGAATATAGAAGTTGCTAAGCGCATAAATCGAGCAATCGAGAAGAGCTCTGCCTATCTCTGGTCAAGATCAAGCGTACTGGGCTGCTTATACAGCGGGCCTGGCCGTCACCGGAGCCTGTCTCGATCGAGATAATGGATTCCTTGCCTACCTAGAGCTTCAAGGCGAGGACGGGCATTGATGAAAGCCCATACTTACTATTGAAAATTAAAGCTAGGATAAGTCTTCTACACCTTGCATTTTTATCATCTTCTTCGAATTCTTCCAACTCCTGGTAGTCAGAATCGAAGGTCATGTTGAAATTATGAAATTATCGGTTTCTAGATATTCCGCTATCGTCCTTGATCCGAATAAGTAACAGAGAGTCTTGAACAGCAACAATGATGAATTGCACTCAGAATGTAGCATAGATCGTATGTACTCGGAGATTCTGAATTGAGGTTACGTTAAATTCCTCAAAGCTTCTGTTCCTTGAAGTCCGTATCTGGTAGCTTTAATAATTTCAATGTCATACTTTGTAGCAGTCTAGAATAGCCAGACGCAGATTGAGAATTGGCTCATCCAACGCGATTCTATGATCTACGGGAGCTTGTTGGTCGACCAGAAGGGAATGACAGTCAGTCTCATTTAGATCCTGTCACACCACTTGGTGGGGATTACGTCGGAATTACAAAGATAAAACGCCCCGGCGAGCATGAACTTGGGGACCGAAATAGCAGCGATCGTCGCCGCCGGGAAAACTCAACAAAACCTGCATAGCGACTTTGGTGCCCGTCCAAGCCGTCTTACGCTAAGTTATAAGGCGCAGTGCGATGTTCAGACCCAACAGATCCAGTGGTGATGTGAGACAGTTGAGGATTTGGGGGCCGGGGGTATGCATGTCCAAACTTTGATAGGGGTCACTGGCCCTTGGTGGGAAACTGAAGATCCATGTAAGACAGCAAGAGGCGGCGTAGCGCGTCTTATGTCTTGCCACCCTCAAGTCTGACGGGTTTTGCTGCTCAGTAATACCCTCTTTGCATATTCACACGCTGCCATGGCTCTACGTACGGCCTTTGTAAGTGCTCTAATCCCCTAGACGTTACTTCAATGTCGGGGCTAAGTGCTGATAACTTAGTTCGCTCTGGCACTCGCCGCCTTGTGCTCATTTGTGTATGAGCGCGCGCACGTCGTCAAGACGTTCTACGCCAATCACCCCGACCGGATGCCTCGGATTAATGCGACCGGGAGCTATGAAATCAAATTCCAGGACCGTATCAGAAACTGCGAGGATGCCTTGCTCCTCGAGGACAAAGGGCTCGCCATCTTGGCCTGCGACGCTGGACGCGACAATTGGAACACGGTGATGGTAAGCAAGCACTGACCAGACCAGGGCAAGAAGCGCGTCAGTTGACCAATTGATCTCCAGGGTGTCTTCCATTCACCTTCAATCGCCCAAGGTGAACTCTTTGCGTACAACTACGCGACCGGCGGTCTTCCCGACGCCGACCGGCTGAAGAAGATTGAGCTCGTCGGCTTCCCTGCCAATCTTGACTTTCACACCGTGGGCTTTGGCTTCGACAAGCAGTCTTCCACTCTTTTTGTCACCAATCATGCCCAGACAGGCTCTCAAATCGAGCAGTTCAAGCTCGACATCGAACGCCTCGTGGCTACTCACGTTCGGTCGATCAAGCACCCGGACCTGATTGGACCGAATGCAATCCTTGCTCTCAATGCCGAGGAGCTTCTCGTAACCAACGATCACTACTTTCTCGTAAGGTACTTCTGGCTGTTGGCCAAGATCGAAACACTTCTCGGTCTCCCTACAGGGCCCGTTGTCTACGTCAATTTGCAAAACGGCCAAGTGAAGACCAAAGTTGTGGCCCGCCTACCATTCCCCAATGGCATACATCTCATCAATGATACTACGCTGGCAGTGGCGTCAACGAGCAAGGCGAGTATAGATTTCTATACTGTGCACGATTACCAGAACCTAGAGTACCATTCCAAGGTCAACCTCCCGTACTTCCCTGATAATTTGGCAATGGCTGGCGATAAACTTTTGATCGCCGGGCATCCCCATCTACCATCCATGGCCAAGTTTACCGAGAGCCGTCACATCTGCAACTTCCCGGAGAAGCTGGCAGAAGCACCATCAGAGGATCAAGAATATTGTCGGAGCGCGTCTGCTACTTCTTGGGTATCCGAGTGGAGCGAGGCTGAGGGCGTGAAACACATCTACGCTGGAACCGAGTACCCGACCAGCTCAACATTCCTGAGGGACTCGCAGCGTAACGTAGGGATCATCGTGGGCTTGTATGCCAAGGGTATCATGGTCTTCAAAGAGTAAAGCAATAGAGGTATCAGGAACTCTCGCTTTGCAAAGATATTTCATCTTGGTTATTTTGGTTTATTTGTAGTTTCAACAACTTGAACTTCCGCTCCTGTCAGACGAGTATGTAAACCAGAAAGGCTGACCAATGGGAGGGGTGCAGGCAATATGAGGCTGAGTGGTAAGCAAGAAAGTAGATAGTTACTGCGGGTGAAAATCCAACGTCCAGTCTACCTAGAAGTTGCGTTTGCTCGGCAACAACGGCCGATGGAACCTCCCAGTACCATATAAGATGTTCGGTTTGCCTTACTCCTCTCTAGTATCAGCTTCAAGTGCTCCCATTGCCCAATCAGGTGCTCGTCGTCCAGCAACATTCTTGATGATGTTCCTAATCTCCAATTCCTCAGCATCGCTCAGCTGCACGCGAAGAGCCCCAAAATTCTCCTCTAAATATTTGATCCTCTTGGTACCGGGGATTGGAACAATATCGTCTCCCTGCTTCAAGAGCCAGGCAATAGCCAACTGCGCAGTCGTGCACCCCTTCTTCCCCGCAAGGGCTCCTAGCTGGTCTAAGAGGACTTGGTTCTTCTTAAGATTCTCTTCAGCATACAGGGGGAACATTGGGCGCATATCCCCCTCGCCGGAGATGGCATTCTGAGAAAGATTTCCGGTGAGGATCCCGCGCCCCAGGGGGGAGTAGGCGACCACGGTAATCCCCAGCTCGCGTGCTGTCTCCAAAATGCCGCCGGTGTTCTCGATATCAAGAACAAAAGCCGAGTATTCGACCTGGATAGCGTCGATCTGCGCAACCTTGCAGGCCCGATGAAGTGTGCTTGCTGTTATCTCAGAAAGGCCAATATGCTTGATTTTTCCTTCACTATGATATTGTCAGCGAATATTTGTCTCAATGTGTTCCCCTTTCGAACATACGCTTTCAACTCTGCCATAGCCCGCACGGTTTCTTCAATGGGCGTCTCGGGGTTTGCACGGTGCATGTAGTAGAGGTCAATGTAGTCGGTACCGAGTATTCTCAGACTCTCCTCGCATGACTTCCTGCAATATGCTGCTGAGCTGTCCACCATGGAATAATCCGGGACATTCTTCACGATTCCAAACTTGGTCGCGAGGAAGATCTGTTCTCGCTTGCCTGTTCGTTTGAACCATTTGCCAATTAGCTCCTCATTGTCATTGTACATGCTATCATATATCAGTACGTTGCTGGCGGAATGTTTATAGTCAAGGGAATAACATACTCGGCCGAGTCCCAATGATTGGCGCCTAGCTCAAGGGCACGGTCGAGCACAGCAAATCGTTCGCTATCACTGGCCGCGAGGCCATACATCAAGCTCATGCCCATCAGTCCAAGTCCAAGACGAGGAATCTTAGGAGCTTCTTGCTCGAGACGGTTAAACAGAGGGCGTGGTTGCGACATGATTTCTGTACGATGGAATGAAGGGGTTTTAATTTGTAGGTAAAGATGAATCTGTTAATGAACAATTGTCTTGTGAGTTTTTATAGTCTTCCAATTCGTATTTTGAGTATTTTAAAAGACAGATATCAAGACGGAGATATGATAAATTCAGACTCAAACGGACATAAACAAGTATATCCGTGACTTTAGTTGACATCACGTCAACTTTTGAATTGTAGATAGCTTCTTGAGCTGTACCCGGAACTCCGAGTACCCAGAGCAGAAAGTGACCATTCAACAAAACTCCGACCGGTTCTATAATTAGGTACAGTAGAGGTCTCTGATTGGTAGAAGCGTAGAGTCCCTAAGATGAAAGAAAATACACTTCTCGACGTTGGGATCGCTGATTGATGCTGCTTTTAAGATAACTGGTCTACTCTACACAACTAACTGCGTTGACTGCCAAAATTGGTCAATATCAGAAGGAAGATTGGGGCTGGGGCAAGGTAGCTTACTTTCAGACATTAGCAACATTCCATACTCATCTACTTCAGCGAGCCACATCTCGCTTCGAGCATCCAGGCTTTCTCCATGCTTAATGTTAAAGAGCTCACCCATTTTATAACCCCCACCCTTCCACTGAGCTAGCCAATCGCCATAATGGCGCTTCCATGATACTTCATCCATCTCTGACCAAAGGTAGCCTGCAGCTGGAGCTGGCAACGGAGCTAGCTCAAAGCAGGTCAAAATGGGATATCCTTGGAGCAGTGACCACACCCATTCAATATGATGCAGAGCAAGAATTGTCCGTCGTTTGGCGGACACGATGGCCCAGTCCTCCCACGTAGGCAAAATATGATCTATCTCTTCTTTAAGAAACATCCCCGTGTTGGCAAGTCGGTGCTTAACTTCCCACATCTCGACGAGAATATGAGCACCCTCTGAAGGTGATACTGCCGGGGTGTTGTTACTTCCGAATAACAAGACTATCGCGAGAAGGAGAAGCGACTGTGTTGCGGCAAGGAGATCAGTTCCGGTATAAGATTGATACTGAGCACAACGTCAGCTTGCTGTATCCGTGATAAATCGAACGGCTAACAAACCTGCTGTAGTAATCTTTTGACCTCCAGTCTGATAAGATCATGCACCAGGACTCTACCACCGTCATCAGATGCCATCCACGTTTTCAGCAGCGTGCTACATTGGGCTAGTGGAAGCGGTAGATCTTGCGCAACCTGGAGATGATGGATGATGGGTGGAAACCGCGCAACGACAGGGCCTGCCATCATACGAGGCCACGATTGGAGGACTCTGACTACAAAGGACATGATGTGCCGAGCAGCCGGGCCGGTGCTTGCAGTACTTGTTGAATTCCCCAGTCTTGCCTGATTGCGCAGTCTTTCTATTACTAACTCCGGTGCTATCCTTTCATGTGCATGGACCCTGCTCGCTGGCGATGGTTGGGGTTGTTCTGAGTGAATAGTTGCAGAGGGAAGAGATTGAGCTTGACTAAGGGAAGATCCATGCGGAGATCTGGTGATCATTTCTCTCGCATCATCTTGGGATATACGCTCAAAGCTGGCCCTTGGCTGTACAGCTTCTGGGGGATGCTCCTTCTGTAAGTCAGAGAAAACAAATGAGTCACCATTTGACTGGAACCCGCATTCGAGAGATCGGGTTTGGCATCTCCCACAATGTGGGCGCTGCAAGTCACACTTCGATTTGGTGCGCGCGCATTGCCTACAGGCCTTTTGTCTCGATGGGGCTTTGATATTCCGCAGGCACCGCTTCCTGTGTCTCACCAGCGACGATTCTGAGTGAATTGCTGGTCAGTACCTGTAAATCCTCCATTTAGTGCTACTCACTTTGCGAAAACGTCTGGAAACATCGTGAGCACTTTCTCGAAGCGTCCGGGGAAGCCATGTCGGAGGTCTGAATTTGGCAAATCTCGGAAGTCCGGGTATTGCGGCTGGCCCAGCTTCAATAAAAACGACATCAAGGAAACCGACAGTTTCACGCTAATAAAGGGCTCGGTATGCACGAGGTCGGCGACCTGGCTGGCTCCGGAGTTCGGAGTTTTGGGTATGAGCCACGGGCTTAAGGCCATATAAGTCCGGGACGAGCGTCATCCCATCTATGGCATGTATAATCTTCTTTGGCTACTATAGCATCTCATTGAGCATTGGTGGTATTCAAGAAGCTTGTTGTATCTATGGGCACTTCTGTCTCTTGGATACAGAGTAGCTAATTATTGAGTTCTATAGCGACATCTGTCTTTGCATCTGAGTAGTGCAATGCTTAAATGGCCATTAAGCTATATCCACCGCCTTTGTTCGCTCCACAGCAACCTTCTTCGAATCACCTGAAGCCTCTTGGGCTGCCAGATCGGGGTCTGACTCGGGGGCGACAACTGGGAGCTGGTTTTGCTTGCGCCGGTCACGCCACAGGAGAATTTGGACGAGTGCCGTGATCAGAACTAGAATTAATGTCAGCACAATGAAAACTATGATGGAATTGCACTCAAACTTACCCAGCAGAACCTGAAGAACGGTAGACCAGATGAAGCCTTTCCTGGCTAGAGGGAAGTCTGTTGTCTTCCACACAAAGTTCGGAGCCTATTTATCGCGTTAATGGTGAATTCTACACGGTTAAGATGTGCTTCAACTGGGCGACAATACTTACCACAGCTTGGACGACATAAGCAAGATCGTTGGCCGCCGCGACCAGCAGGGCTCTCTTCTCGGTATCTGCAGAACAGATTTCGTTGATCCAACTAAGGATGAGGGGTCCTGCTCCATTCTAGGAAATGTGTCAGATTATGAAGGGTTGCCAGTTTTTACTGCTTGTCACTTACGCCAATATTGCTCAGCCAATACAACGCCATGCGGCCTTTGATGTTGGAATATAATGGCATCTCCAATAGGGCGATGTTCAGAATGAACTGCAATCTCGTTAGCGCAAGAAGCTTTCTAATGAATCTCTGGGGCCTTACCGCGATCACTGCACCAGCGTAGATGAAGGGCCAGCGACGTCCCTTGAAAGGCCCGTCTGAGAGCCAAGCCCATATCAATGCCATGACAATGAAAATACCATTTGTCGGAAGAGGTACTGGTAAGTGGTTAGTTAGAGTGTAAAAAAGGTGGGATGGATGGAAAATTCCTTACAATTGTTGATCTCGGGGACTGTGAAGGAAGTTCCGGGCACTGGAGGGGGGTTGGCGTTGAAGCTCTTCAGCCAGTATCCCATAGGAGGCTGCAACCCAGCATTGTTCCAAATGACATAGACAAAAGGCAACGTCCACGTGTGCCAGCTTTTGGCGATGCGAAGGACCTTTGCTTTTGACCAGGGCTGCTTGCCCGCTCGACCAACGGACTCCATCCTCCTCTTCGCGAGAACTTGTTCCGACTCGGTTAACCACCATGTCTTCTTGTTATCTTGAGGAAGATTAGGGAAGAAGATCCAGCCAGCAACGGCGATGGGAATTGTGATGATTCCGTCGATGATGAAAAGCCATCGCCCTATTGGAAGAGAAAAGATATTAGCATCGCAGGACCAAGATGTACATATCCTACTTCATTGACTTACATCCGGATCGACCCGCAACACCGTTGAGATTGGTATAGGCAGCAGCCTGTAAAAAGCCGCTGAACATTGTGCCGACGGTGCCAAATAGCCAGAAGATCATGCCGCGCTTGCCAATCTCACGGGGGGTGTACCAAGAGCCGAGTAAGTAGTGTATGCCTGGGTAGAAACCTGATCTATACGGCGAGTCAGTAGTTGCTCGAGACAAGAAAGGGTGATCTTGTCTTACTCGAAAAAGCCGACTAGAAATCTCAATGCGTAGAGTGCCTGGTACGATTGCACCGACGATGTGGCGAAAGTTGCGATGCCCCAGCCTACTTCCAGCGATGGAATAACCCAGCGAGGGGAGACTCGAGTCAGAAGCAGGTTGATGGGGATTTGACCAATGACATATCCGACCGTCCAAATTGATGTGCCTGTTATCCCGGTTGTTAAGACCCATGCCTAAGTTGGAGATTTTCGTTCCAGAGATACTTACTTGTAACGAGCTCATTTCCGTACATGTTCAACTCTTCCTTCATACCACTGAGGAATGCATTGTTGACGTTGTTTTGATCGAGATATTTGAGGAAATAGCCGAGAGAGGCAAAGATCAAAACGACAGCGTCGACCTTACCCATCAGTTTGCGCTGAGCGGGCGGAAGCTCCAGAGTATCCCAGATTTGGCCTTTCCATGTTTTGATAGGCTCGGTGTGAATCTCTTCTTCATAGCCAGAGCTTGCTTCGGTATCCGAAACCTCGCGGTTGGCCTCAGCTGTCTTTACCTTTGTCTCTGGAGGACTGGCCATGGTGTCGATCTGTGGCGTGTGGCACGTACCAATCTACCTGCTTACAGTGGGATGATGCACGAGTATATTTATCCTAGGAGGGCTCACGCGGGCTTTGCTCGGGCTGCAACGTCTTCGTCCTGTCCCTGCCAAATGCGCTCATCGGCCATGGCTATCACGTCAGTTGCAGCCGCCTCACAAACCAGCGTATCTATGTCTGTTTGACCCATTAATCGAGCAGATAGCCCATATTTTGTTAAATGTAGCATGGTTCATTTCCCGGAGTAAGATGGTCTGTCGCTGCAGTCCGGGTTTAGCTGAAGCAGTATAACCGATGATGAGATCGTTGTCGGGTCTTGCGTGCTCGCGGCCTAACATAGCTCAAACGCACGATGGAGATCCAGCCGTATCCACCACCCAACATGACAAATGTACCCTTGGAAAACACCAGATAACTCGGTAGATTGTCCTGGAGTCGATTCGATTATTTTCAGCTTTCAATTTGCCCCGGATTGCTATTAGGCAACAGTTGTCGAGTTAGCCGTGGGGTAAGAAACGGACGATAGATTTAGACCCCAGACAAGAGATGAACCAGTTCAACCCGCGCAGAAAACGATGACATGCAGTATCCATCAGAAATGGATCTGACATGCGTCATGTAACAGGAAAACTGCAGGGACTCCGGAACGCCACTGCCGAGCGCGTGAAAACGCCTCACCGTTGATGAGCACGCAAGAGTCCAGTCTCATGCATTATTGGGCTCTAGATTCCCAAGAACCCCATGGCATGATATGCATCGCGTGGTCGTTCCAATAGCGAGCCAAGAAAATCTTCCCATGGGCAGCTCGGACCGGCCCTAACCCGATAGAAGGAGCAATTATTGATCCATCACATCCGTCTTTCCGATATGAGATATACCCGCGCGCTCGTTTGTCAGACGAGCTTCCTCATGTGATGGCCCCGGCACGTCTTCCGGTGTTTGTTTTTTCTCCTGCTTCCATTGTGATCCCAAATTTGTGTTAAATCAGTTTGATCCATGTTCAATCCCTTCGATTCTCTTTGAATGAGGAAAAGATGAGCACACCGTTCGCATGCTAACCGGGAGGGAATTATGCTTAAGGACGTAAAAACCGGGCCTCGTTGCCAGCTTTTAAGCCCATGTACGGCCAGTATCCTGGAACTCGTACTTGGCAACCTATTTCTCATTCAGCAGGGTCACAAACTAGATTTTCATGTATGCAGAGATGTGTCTAAAAGCGTAGATATGTCTCAAGCTTCGGGAGGGAGGATATTGGTGTGTGATGATCGGAACAACTGCTGGTCGACAATCCGACGAACAGACCAAAAATCACCAGTAACCCCAAAGAGGACAGGGGCTCTGAGTTGCAACTTGGGTATCTATCCTCCATTGCTCTCTGTGTTACTCACGTAGCAAGTTGAAGGAAAACGAAAGGTTAGATACGGCTTCGATATTGCGCATTTGGCTGATGATCACCAAAAGTCATATCAAATTATCTCTGGAGCAACCTGGTCATCTCAAGGTACAAAAATCGGGTTAGAGCGTGATGCTGACGAATCTCGTATAAATCGCATCTGAATCGTGAAAATACTCAAATCTTTTCGCTTGCTTATCTTGAATAAGCAGCGAAATATGACCCACAAGCCAAGAAAAGTCCCGCACCCAGATCTGCCTCCAGCGGGCGGGGATTCACGCATCCAAACAAGCTACGGACACGAAGAGGCCTTTTGGTTGCGACTCTAGGACTACAGGTCACTGTCTCTATCTTTCTAATGTCGTCTTCTGATGCCTGGGAGAAGGAGGACGAGCACCGCGCTTTGACCGAGCTGCATGCTCGCGTGCTTCGATTATGCGAAGCCTTGCGACGCACGACGCCTGCGGAGAAAGAATATGCCAGGGTGCTTGAGGCATTGCTGGCCGAGATCGGTACAAGGTGCAGTCTGATTAGGACTTATCGGAATTATAACCCAAGGCTGAAGCCCTTTCTTATTGATCTCGAGAATAAGCTGCAATCAATACCCATGCACCCCCTAAACATAACGGACGAAAAGGGGCCATCAGGATACCATCTCAGTCATGAGGATATGAAGGACATCATGTACGATGCAGATAGCTGTCTGTATGGCGAGATAAGACAGGAGAGAAGACTGAGTGGGTAAGTTTGAGATTTGAGCCGTTTTGTTTAATGGCTTTCTGAGTGCTCATCAAAACTCGGCTGGTGTAGAAACGCTCACACTTCTCCTGGTGCTCCCCCCAGGCTATACATTGACACCTGGGGAATTCAACATGGACCATGGAGGGACCAGATAGAGCACATACGGAACACCTTGCTCGTAAATCGACATTTATCAGACTGGATACAACCCCATGAGCTTCGTCAATGGATTGATCAGTGTGATGCACAGCATGCCGACCATTGTGGGCCCCAGGCTGCAAGCAACAAGATCTTTCGTCATCGTCCAAAACGCTTGGTCGATTTAGAGCACATGTGCATCATACCAGCCGAACCTCACCATCGGTACGTTGCTCTAAGCTACGTTTGGGGGACTGGTAGTTCCCTGCAGTCTTTGAAACACAGCCTAGATTTGTTACTCATTGGAGACTCCCGCGATGTCAAGGACGAAGCGAAGAAGGCATCTCTGAATCCCAAAACTCTTCTCAGGCACGCCACCGGAAAGGAAAACAACGTAGTGTCAGAGTCATTACCTCCAACAGTTCAGCATGTCATCGAACTTGTTAGAAGACTTGACGAGAGATATTTGTGGATAGACTCGCTCTGCATCATCCAAGACGATGGAAATGAAAAGTCGGAGGAGCTGAGCCATATGGGATCCATCTACGCAAACGCCTATGTCACCGTCGTGGCAGCGGGAGGCAACTCCTTTACCGGCCTACATGGAATCGAGAACATCACACCGCCAATGGAGAGGCCTAATAAAACACCCTTATATCTTGAAGCCCCGAAGGCCGCCTCTGAAGAGGTAAAAGCTGCTCATGGATACATCTCAAGGTCTATGTGGAACCGGAGGGCATGGACGTTCCAAGAGCAGATCTTCTCACGACGACTGCTTGTCTTGAGCGAGGCCCGCATCACTTGGGAATGTCACTGTGCTGTTTGGTTTGAAGGCCTGGAGGTAGTTCAGGCGCAGTGTAAGAAGCAGCGTCAGGTTGTTCCCGGTCTTTCCTTTGGAGCGGAAGCAAACATGAAAGACTATTCGAAACATGTTACCGAATATAACCGGCGTGTGCTAACTTACCCTGAGGATGCACTGGACGCTTTTGCGGGAATTCTTGGAGCATTGTCTGGAATATTCGTTGATGGATTCATCTGCGGGCTGCCGCGAACATTCTTTGATACAGCCCTTCTCTGGTACAATCAAATCCCCGTGGAGCTGCGGAAGCCTGCCCACAGGACTGCTGAAACGGCGATGCCTCCAACGTGGAGTTGGGCGGCGTGGTCTGGGTCTATAGAATTTCCAGACAATGATATTCACCCACTCGCAGATTGGTGGTACAGAGAAAACAACACTACCTCTTGGGAACCTGTCTCAAGCCAACAGGACCGAGGGGGCGCAACTATGCGAGATCCGCCGGTCGTGGAGGAAGATTGGGTACCTCATCTTCTTTATGCACGCGTACAATGTGCTGTTTTTCAAACTATGGATATGGATTCCACTCCTGTTATATACCTGAAGGGGGTAGCTGACGATGGAGTTGGGGCTGTCACTCCTTGCGCTCTAATGCCCACTTCTCCGGCTAATGGCTTAACTCTTGAACTCGTAGCGGTTTCTGAGTGCTTAATCAACGGCGCATTGGCTACAAACATCCTTTGGATTGAGAGAAATGGACTCACTGCCTACAGAAAAGGAGTTGGAAGAGTTTTGAAGTCAGCATGGGAACTGCAAAAACCTGACATGATAGATCTGTTGCTCGGCTAGGCAATTGAAAGTGAATGGCAATTTCCTTCTTTGGTCCACATGCAACCTCCTAATTTATTCTCACTCATGCATCAAGTACATGTAGAAACTCCCATCGAGATCCAGTATCCTAACCAAGCCATCCCGGCAGTACACTAGTTTCCATCGGCGGGCTGGTTCCTTTCAGTTACGATTGACCTGGCAATATAGTCTGCTATTGCATATGTGGTCACAGAAGGATTGACTCCACTGGCAGTGGGAAAGACACTGGCATCAGCAACATAAAGACCCTTTGTCCCCCAAACCTGGCCCTGAGGTCCGACCACCCCTTTATCTGAACAAGCAGACATTCGGCATGTACCCATTTGATGGGCGGACCCAAAGTAGGACTGGGGAGTTGGTAAACCGTGTGAGAGGATGCCGCGAGCCCAATCGTCGAATTGAGCTTTGGTGGTATCGCTTGTCCGAACGAAGGGCTTGAATCCGGGGACAATGGTGAAGATCTCCCGTGCTCCCGTCTCGTAGCAAAGTTGTGCCGTTCGCATGATCCCCTGCAGAATCATCTGCCTGTCGGATGGCGAGGGACTATAATCTATGCGGCAGCGGCCATCCTCTGGATCAGGATAGACTCTGCCCGTAACCTTGTCTTTGTGAACAATGACAAAACCGGCGGTGTGGTCCATTTGGGAAGCCAGCTTCTTGAACTGCTGGCCATTCTCCCAAGGAGACCAGGTAAGCCATGTGTTGGGTAAAGTATTCATGACTTCTACTTTGATGCCGTGACCCTCACCATCCAGGTCTTCAAATTCAGTACAAGCGGTGGTGAGAATCGATCCCTCCCATGGCTTTATCTCTTCCTCGTAGATGCCGCCGACCAGAGTGACAGGGTGCAAGTACAGGTTCCTGCCAATCTGTGGATTGGTCAGACCGGACCTCATCAAGAGCAGTGGTGATTGCAGACTACCACAAGAGACAATGACTCTCTTGGCTTTGATGAACACCTCTCGCGTTGTAGTTGGCTTGCCTGCTACACCCCCATGCTCGTTACGAGAGGTCCAGACTCCACGTACCCCCTTGGCCACTTTCTGTCCTTCGATATCGTCAAATTCGACGTTGTTCACCCTCAGACCCTCGAGAAATCGAGCTCCGGCCTCCGCAGCTTTGGGTAGCCATGCGACTCCGGGACCCTGCTTCTCAGCAGACCGGCAGCCAAAATGACAATGACCACAGCTGTGTTCATGGCCACCAGTGTTCTGTCCTATAGCAGAATGCTTCCAGCCCAGGGTCTTGCATCCCTCCAAGAGCTTGAGATTCGGTTTGTTGTGCTTGATATGATCGGTAGAGACGCCCATTGTGGCGCACACTCGGTCCACGGATTCCCGGAATTCTTCGGAGGTGAAAAGAGGCAACCCCGTAGCAGCCCATTGCTGCCGAACATAAGGCTGAACCGGCCATGAGGCACTCCAGTTGATGGCACCACCCCCTCCCCAGGTCGAGCCGGCCAATGCGACGACTGATCCGTCATCCGCTGGCGAATGGGTTAGCAATGGGACTTGATTGACATCACTTTTGGAAGAAACAGGGGGGTGGGGATGGGGTGGTCACGAACAAATGATCTGACCCTCGTTCATGAAAAGCTGGCATGGGCCTTGGATATCGTCCATGGGCAGATACTCGGGAGGCCAGTAGTGGCCCTTTTCAACCACTATCACGTTGAACCCGGCTTCTGCGAGCTCCTTTGCACAGACTCCGCCACCGCAGCCGCTGCCGACGATGACCACGTCTGTCTCGATTACCTCTGGTTCGGAACCAGGAGGGATCTGTATGAAGTTGAAATCGAACCCTTTCCCAACCTTGCCATCAATAGGAACCCGTGGTAGTCCGATAAGCGGACGGAGGTTGGGACTGGTTCGAGCCCACAGATTCTTGGTGATCAACGCCATAGTTCGCTGGAAGAGTCGGAGTGGAGGCAGGATGGAGTGTGCCCAGCCCTCTAAGATCTCTTGTCGGATAGACAGCGGCTGTTTGGCGAATACTGTCAGTCGGCCGGTAAGGAGGATCGAGGCAGCAGAGTAGCTAAAGGTATCGAAATGAGTATAACTGCTTCTCAAGTAAGAAGGCGGCGCGGGGGAATGAACCTTAGAAGGGTGAGCATCCGAGAAATTTCGGCTCTCTCGGTGGAATTGAGGACAATGTTGAAAAGTCTTTCCAGCAGGACCCGTAGCTCTGGAATTTCGGAAGCTTTCTCATGATAGTAGGCCCTGATTAAGGATGCATTGTCGTCGTCGCCGGCATCAAGCGGCGAGCCATGGTCAGAGCCACGACCATCATATTCAATTGATGGAATAATAGTGTCACAAATGGACAGCAGGACCTCCCATTGCTCAGGAGACAGGATATCCGGGGCCGTAATCGGCGCCATATTGGCAGAGAGTGGCGGTTGGCTGTCCATGGCGGTGATTTAGGTGCTTGATAGAACGAAACCGCCAGGGTCTTCGTATGAGCCCCCGGTGACTTTATATACTGGTTCTATCCTAATAATGAGGGGGCAAATACGAGCAAGCAAAAAGGTCTCCTAAAACCGTTGCAACGTGGCGTAAGCCGTGTCTAACATCTTTAGGTGGCATTGCATGACCCTGCATGTATTGTGTCTCAGCCAGCACTCTCATATTTGATATGAAAATCGGAAAACTGACTAGACCAATCAATACAAAAGCATATAGAGTATTCACAGCTCGACCATGGAGCCAAATATTGCCTGTTGCCACCCACGTAGCGACCCCTTTGCCTAACTCTCTTGAATAACCTTTTCCCTAACATCTAGCTCACCCGGACATGACGAAAAGGGCGATTTGAGGCCGCGGAGAGGGAGTGCTGCAGTGACATCGCTTCGCCGGCCGGTTTTCTGAGACAACAGTGGATAGAGGTGGTTGGGCAGCAGATCGAGTTTCAAGAAGACACAAAGAGCGGAGAAAATTGCACAGGTGCTGGACATCTCAATCTGATAGGTGGACTAAAGCTTTGAGATGTGCGACAAATGCAGAATATGCATGAAAACGAATCGTTCTGGACCCTCTTCGGCAGCCCCATGCGTAATTGGTGAGACATACGGGCGACTATTGACTGTCGGTGAGGTTTGTCTAGGATGCCTCTAACCCACCACACGCACTGATGTGCGGCACCTTTTAAAGTCATATCACCTATTAGGTAAGTAATGACATAAATCAAGATGTACACAGTATCAGTGCTGTTGCACAGGGCATGTCTGACCATGATTTACCCACTACCTAGTAGCTTAGACAATTCCAGAACGCCTGAATACTCGTTGAACCTCTTAAGTTGCTCCTTATTGATGACGGTGACTGCGCCACAGCCGCTAGTGGAATGTAACCTCGTAAGTCAAGCAAGTCAGCTTGATGAGTCACAGCGAACTTCATGTGCCGAGACCAAGCAATGCATATAATTAATTCCTCCATGGCCTAAAGACAGTTGTATCCTGTCTAGCATACACATTTTGCCAACATGGAAGAACTAGTCGAGGGACTGAGACAAGCCGCTGATATCCTGCTCCTGGTAGAGCTTGCACAACAAGCTCTGAGCGAGGCGCAAGAGTCAAGCATCCCACTAACGAGAAAGATGGAGTTTAACAACCTTCAACCAGTCATGGACAGATTGAAAGCAGCTTCAGAATTAGCAATGGGAGCAAGCTTCCCGAGGGCAGACATTGGAAGTATCTATCAAAGAGCTGAAGAATGCTTGGATATATCTGAGCAGCTCATACGATGTGCAAACGAGCAACGAAGTGAAGAGAACGACCTTGAAAGCCTAGAGACGGCATTTGACAGACTGAAAAGACGTATAGAACTGGATCTCCTTACCTTTATCGAGTAAGTCCCTGCCGTTATTTGTCGTACCCAGTTGAGGTTATCTGGAGCGAAGCTTATCAGTACATAGAAACTACGCGCAAATGCCTCTGGCAGCTCAGCGTGAGCTTATTGAACAACTGTCAAGATCTACCGAACGGAATGAAGACCGAAAGGAGGAGTTCAATGGCGCAAATAGTGGCCGCAAAGAAGGATTCGGGTTTTCAGTTGTCGAGTGCCTTGCTCCCATCGAGGCCCCTGGAGACCCAACCACGATCTTCTTTACGCTACTTGTTGACATGATTGATGCTTTGCATCGTTGTGAGATGCATAGGGTGATCGACTCTCCTCCCATTGTTGTTCATGAAGCTCGGAGGTTTCAGGTTATCAAGATTATTCTGAATATGCAAGGATACAGAGCGCCCAGCGACATGGAAGTGCGTGCTCGCAATGAGCACTGCGCTGCCTTCAACAACATATTCTCTGTGCCCGCAGCCGGTACGAAATCATGGGTCAATTATTGCCAATGGCTTGAGTCGGATAAGCAACTGTACTGGATCACTGGCGCAAGGGAATCTGGCAAGGCGACCCTCATGAAACTCATCGCCCATGGGCCTCAACATCGTCCCCGTGAATCTTTGGTTGGGTCGATACCCTTTCTTCGCAAATGGGCGAACGGAAAACCCCTGATCACAGCCACATTTCTCTACAATACGCCAGGGAAGAACGTGGAGCTTACAATGGAGGGAATGCTTCGGTCACTTCTTTTGCGGATTCTTACAAATTGCCCAGGAGCCATGGAAAGACTGAGTCCTGTAAAGTGGAAAAGTATCTGCCTATTCGGAGACTCTTACTTTGCACCTGAGAAGGAAAACCTTTCAGATTTGCTGATTGATGCACTCAATGCCGTCAAAGATAGTCACAGAATCTGTATATTTGTGGACGGTTTGGACGAGTTGGATGGCGGTGATGGAGACGTCGCCCGGCTATTCAAACGCATTATAGACAACACGTCAGCCAAATTGTGTTTCGTCAGCCGTCTGCTTCCAATATACCAAGACATCTTGGGAAGCAGCCCCCATCTCGAAATTCATCACCTGACATACCGCCAGGTCGCGACTTATGTGGGAGAAGCAATGAATAAAAATGAAGAATTCTTGCAATTCCAAAACGCAAATGCGGGTTCAGCAACCCAGTTGGTGGAGAGTATCACGACTAAGGCGGCTGGTGTCTTCGTATGGGCTCGTGCTGCGGTCATTGTCATGCTTGATGGCTTCCATCACACTGACAAGATATCCGGTCTTTACGAAAGGTTGGATAAGATACCATTGGATATGAACGAGTTATATCAAAGTATTCTTGACGAGATGGAGCCCGAAAGTTTGAGGGAGTTGGCACAAGTATTGCTCATCATGGGGAGCTGTGCTGAACCGCCTCCAGCCATACTGCTTTCATTCGCGTTCGAACAGAATCCCAAATTTGCAATAGCGCTGCCATCCGAAGTAATGTTGCCTCAAGATGTACAGACTCGCATCAGAGCAGTATGCAACAGGATTGAGAGGTTAAGCAAAGGTCTTATAATCTTTGACAAACTTGAGGAAACATCTAACGGCTCGGCGATTGAAATGTGCAGATCCCATTATGCCGAGGAGAAATTTCAACAATTCATTGAACAGGACTCTCTGGAAGTCTTTCTTCAGAAGTCTGCCGGCGAGGATTTCGACGTTCATCGGCAGCTATGCATGGCATATATGGCCTTGCACAAAGTAAGCGAGCCTCACAAGAAGCAATTATTGAGGACCTATTTTCACGAGCCTTCGTCTGCCGACAGGGCGTTGATCTACTGTATGAGACACGCGTCTCACGTGAAATATCGCCACAACTCCGAGATGATTGACGCATTGGACAGCATTGATCTTACCGGGCTTCCTCAATCCAGACAGCCATGGTGGCAAGTCGATAGTTGCGCGACAAAGTTCATTTGCAAAATGAACAATTTGAACGAGTTTCAGGTCGGAGGAGAAATGTGTGGCCCAAGCCTTCTCTCGTTGGCTGTCAAATGTGGTGTGGTCGAGTACGTCAAGGCAAAGATGCCAGCCAACTGTTTGGTTCCTCTTGAGGATGTATACAGTACCAACCACCCGATGGACCCCTGGCCTCTTCTTCTTGACGCTTTAGACAATTCATTCCCAAATTCCAGAATGGTTGAGGTCTTACTGGAGGGAGGTGCAGATCCGAACCTCGAGCTATCTGGCTTGCGTTTCAGTCCTACTATGTGGGGTCATTATCTGAGTCACTTGTTTTGTGCCATTGAGGGCTTGGGAGTACAGGACGGAAGGTTGGAAGAGTATGAAAAGATGTTGCGCTTGATGATAAAGCACGGTGCCTCGCTAAGCACCGAATCGCTGGAGAGAGCTGTCTCAAACCAGTATCTGCGCTTCAGAATCCGTGAGGATTACATGAATGACCTCGTTCAAGTGTTTCAAAGTGACTTTGAACAGATCAGAATTGACCTCGATGCTCCACTTGATTTGGTAACCATGGTGGCTCGTGGCAGAGAGGCAGGCTCCCGCAACGAGGAGGCTAGGAACAAGGGGTTGTTGTGATTTAATGCCGGTTTAGCAGGGGATTTTATATGCTCTTCCTTCATCTTCATTTCTTTGTCGCGAAACGTCGGCCACAGGCGCCAAAACATGGATTTTCTTAAACATTCACTTTGAAATCTTGGAAGCAACATGATTACGGAGGTTCGATGATTTCAAAGACTGGATATAATCATGGATATCATTAATACCTAAGGTGTTGGCCCCAGAGTGTGTGGCTACCCAGGAAGCATTTTTCTTTGAGCCATAACATTAACATGAGTCACGAATTCCTAAAACAGGCTGATTCTTTCTGACTGGGCAACTTGCTCAAGGATAGTCCAGCCCAGTTGTGTCTCAGAGCCACCGAAATCCCGCCTTTTCCACACTTCAACGATGATATCTCTAGCCTTCTTTATATATCTCATCTGCCTCTTCTGCTGGAGCAGGTGTAGCTTCTCTAATATGAACGCTCTCTCAGCATCACACTCCACGCCTATGCCGAGCGTCGCTACCATGAATAAAGGCCACAGTATTAGGTTAGACCGGGTGGATAGTCGCTTGACCAGACTAAGAATCTTCGAGGATAGCCGTGTAATACAAGGATCATATGGACCTAGGTTGTCCACGCGAGAGTATAAATGAAGTTGGCCAGTTAGACGCTTGATTTCGATCGCTAGGACACTTTCTGGAGTATCTTCGTCAGATACCGCCGACTCATTGAATGGAGTGTGTTGATGTAATCGCCTTTCCAAGTAGAGGCGCCGTTCTTCCAAGCCTGACAGTAGTTCTGCATCTGCGTAATCAAGTTTTGAGAGGGCAGAAAAATCAGCGGCAAGGGAGTTGACGTCGGCCAAGATCTGGAAGAAGTCTGTAGAGCAGCCGGTAAGCGTCTGGAGGTTGACGTCGTCACACATGACTGTCACTGGACTTCCGCTGCCGATAGAGGGCTTTGCATTCCAGGCTGTGTGTGCGTAGACCTCATGAATGACAATATATCCCCCCACGAAATTGAATAACGCGTCGATATCTGGGTCTAGTGAGACCCGGGTGTTGCGAAAATTCTGAACCAAAGATCTCGCGAAATCAGAATGTATTACCCACGAAGATGAACAGTCACTCATGATCTGTACATCTCAAGTTAGAAAGACTGAACCGGCGGACATGCGAACAAATGGAGTGAATGGGAGCCTTACATCAAGAAAGATGAGAGACATGACTGTCGCCAGTATTTGTGCCTCTGAAGATTGGTCCATCGTTCCCTCCTCCATCTTGCAGGTCTCTCTTCTCAGTAGTCGCAGAGCTTGGTGGTGGTAGCCTAAGGCTACAGAGTCATATTCCCTGCTCCCGAGTATAGACCGTTCTCGGGCTGATATTGCCATGATGATATTGAATAATGGTGATGACTTGCCTGTTGAGGCGGCAATACGTAGTAAGATAGCTTGGTAAGGATTCACTGACGGATTTAAGACACATGTTGGTGCAATCGCCCCATGGAAGTATGTCCAAAGGTACACCTCCATCTTGGACATGGACAGAGGATCGAGCCAGGCCCGTGGTTGGACCTCTTCATAAGGCATGTCAAATACGTCGGTGTCGTCTGTGCTGGGCCACTCTAAAGCTTTGGTGATCGGTGCATCATTATCCGGCGAATCATCTAAGACCGCCTCTGGAAGCAGATATGAGAGTGGTCTTGTACTGAGGTCCACTGAGTAGGCATGCAGAAACATCCAGTCTTCGGTGGAGCGTGTATTCAGAGGAGCCACCTTGCTGCATGACTGTACACGCTGCCATCTGAGAACCTGGTTATAGCTGCAGCGCCGACCGAGCATCCGGCAAGGCTTGCAAGCCGGCTTCTGTTCTGATCATCTCTGTCAGATCACGTCTTTCTACAAGGGCAAACAAGATGGGACCGAACAGGGACCGTGGTCGGCTCCTGAGTTCCTCAACCGCGGCTGGGAGTTGAGCAAGCCGGAGCAAGAGAGCCCGTTCAACATCATCCGCGAACAATATTCTCTCCACTATTTCTCTAGCGCGCAGCACACTTACCAGGACATTTGACTCGCCTCTGGCGGCATTCATTGCACCCAGTTCGGGTCCTTGTCTCCCCTTCTCTAGCTCGTCTTGTCCCCATTGCGACTCTTTGTACTGCCCCACCAGTTGTGCCCAGTAAAAGTAAGTTGGAAAACCCAGGGTATGAGATGACAGATCGTCGTTCTGCAGATGTGGGAAGGTCGAGACGAGCCGGCGAGGGATTTGGAGCAAGGGCGAGAAAAGGGTTGAGATTATGCCGCGCCGTCGCGGTCTGGCAGTATGGGGTAAGATAAGGCCGGTGGGACTGAGATAAAACGTGGGGAAATGCAACCTGACTCGTATGGTTTTGCTTGATAAGTGAAGGGTTTATGCATCTATCCCCTATGAGAGATCCTAGCGTTATCGTTTACGTCGTTTCGAGTTGCCTCGATATGCACGTCTTATTGCCGGTCAGAGGCTCCACCACATGATCTTGGTCCGATACCGCTACAGACCGCTACACTGTCAAGCTTCGTGATTGTCTGGGCGTAAATTGACTTATCTATCACTCGACAGCCATACTATATACCGTTATTACCAAGACCCAAAGGCCGCGCTTGAGGCACTCGTGTATTGTATCGACTTGTCACCCATAGGAAGGGAGAAACCACGATACCGGAACGATCCGCCAGGAGCACACTGCCCACCATGCCCACTTCCAAGAGTGTGCTCGTCATTGGAGCTGGCACCTTTGGCTTGTCTACAGCGTATCACTTGGCCAAGTCCGGGTACTCCCACATCACAGTCCTCGACAAGAGCGAGTTCTTGCCCTCCAACATCTCAGCCGGCCATGACGTGAACAAGATCATCCGCGCTGAGGATGAGAGTCCCTGGTATGCTGACCTGTCTCTGGTAAGTAGCCTCAACCTTGTGACGTTTCGCTATTGACATGTATTAACTCTCGATTCAGGAGGCTATGAAGGTCTGGACAGAAGACCCCCTTTTCTCTCCTTACTACCACCAGGTCGGCTACCTGCTCGCGAATTCGCCTGCAGCACCTGAGAAGGCAAAAAAGACGCTCGCTAAATCCTTGAGTAACATTTCCAATCGACCTGCATGGCAGGGTAAAATCAAGCCACTGAACACTCGTGCCGATATCCGTGATGTGGTTCCAGCTTTTGATGGACCTATGGAATGGAAGGGCTACTTCAACAGCTTGGCAGGATGGGCGCATGCTACCGACTCGATGCACGCTGTATATTCAGCATGCTGCCTACTTGGTGTCGACTTCAAACTAGGTGTCACTGTCGAAAAGCTTGCATGGAAGGGGGACAAGTGCATCGGGGCTTATTCCTCGTCTGGAGAGCTATACTCGGCCGATGTCACCGTCGTGTCTCTCGGAGCTTCAGTGGCAGCCGTTGTTCCAGAGCTCGCGCCGCAGATTACAGCAAAAGCCTTCGCCGTTGCTCACATCCAGCTGACACCTGCCGAGGCTTTGAGGCTTCGGGGCATCCCTGTCACCTACGCCAGAGACCTCGGTTTCTTCTTTGAACCAGACCCGAGGACCGGTCTCCTCAAGCTATGCCCATCTGGCGCAGGCATCACCAATTACAGAAACACCAAGGTGTCTTTGCCTCCTGTTGATAGCAACTACATTCCAGCTCATGATGAGGAAGCCATGCGCAAACTTCTTCGAGAGACTCTCCCATGGCTTGCGGATCGGCCTCTGATCAATAAACACATGTGCTGGATCGCGGATACACGAGACTCAGCCTATGTCTTCGATTATTTGCCTGGCAAGACTGGAGTCGTAGTAGCGACGGGCGATTCAGGAACCGCATTTAAGATGCTTCCCATCGCTGGACAGTGGGTCAAGAAGGTGATCGAGGATGGGAAGCAGAGCGAACCGAGATGGCAGTGGAAGAATGTGTCTGGAAGTAATGACGATGTCAGCTGGCGGGTTGGTACACCGTATGACTTGAGCGAAGAACCACGAATCGTGTCAAAGCTTTAGAACCGCTATCATGGTTATAGCTTAGCATAATATTATTTGAGACTATTTATGAGTCTATCGATTTCGAGGTCTTTGAATTAAGTGATAATATTTTATCTCCTTACCCCCGAAAGCGAGGGATGAGGTGGAGAGAGGGGAAAGGGGGCTAACGAGTTATCCTTAACTAGAAATTTCACGCGTTATGAGTGTCATTCTAGTGCGTGACTATCGCGGAAATAATAAAATATATCGTACTAATATAACAGTATTATCTACTAATGCATAAAGCAATCAGCCATCGATCGTGATACAATAACATTATCACTTGACTACCACCATAATTCTGTCGGGGCAACTCTGCAATACCTGTTTTTACAATACCCACTTGGGGTTTAATAGGCTAGCAAGACATAAGCAGCTGTATCTTTGGTCATACGCGAATCATGCGTCGAGTGGTTTTCATGTAGTTTGAGATTCGTATAGCTTTGTACTCTAGTCAAGATGACAAAACTGTCAATCTCTTTAAACGAATCCGTCAACTATTTGAAACCATTTATGTATGAAAGAGACACCCAGCCAATAGATTCTTTAAACCTGGGTCTTGCGTCTTTACTAGCCCATGCTCCTACCATTAGTGCGTATACCTGAACGACTCCTTCTGCTTCCCATCCGTGATATCACCGAATCCCTCACCGCTACCCTCCTGCACGTGCTCTGGCTTGCCGTAAAGGCGGTCACGGCGGCGGTTCTCAAACATGCAGACAGCCAGGTAGGTTAAAGCAATCAAAATGGCAGCACAGAAGCAGCTGAGCATAGCAATCACGCCTCCGGTGTATTGCGGGGCCTGATTTGCCCGGAATGTCTGGGGACCGATCAAGTTTCCGGCCGCGTATCCGATGTTGACTATGGCGAAGACGACGGCCTTCTTGGTTCTTCCTCCAGTGTTGGCCTGTGGGAGGGAGATGAAGACAACATAGGGGGCTGCAAACTATTAGTGTGGTGCTTAATAATATCGAAGGAGAGAGTGACTTACGCCAGTAAAGGTACATGAGATACAACCCGACCATTTGCGCAGGGATAACGCTCCTGGGGATTCCGTAGACCATGGCTGTTCCAAGCAGAGGACACAGACAAGCGATTGAAGCCACGATTGTGCGGCGGTTCGTCCACTTGCCCGCGAATGTGCTGAAGACCCAAGCGCCGAACGTACAGAACAGTCCAAATGGCATGGTCAGGAGACTGGCCTCCAGGGATGTGAATCCGAGGTTCTTGATGATGATGGAGCCGAACGTCACCAGGCCACCGTTGGGAATGTTGATGGCGATATTGAAGAAGAAGACAAGCCAGACCTTGATATCTAGAATAGCCTCGAGCGCCTGATCCCACTTCCACTTTGTATCCTGCGTTGCAATTCCGGTACGATTATCGGCTAGACGAGTGGTGGCGTAGTATTTTTCTTCTTCGGTGAGGAATTTCGCGTTCATCGGGTTGTCGGGAAGTGTAAAGTAGAGGAAAATAGACCAGAGCACGTTGATGGTTCCAGTCAGAAGATAGAGATATTGCCATCGAGCGAGAGGGGCGCTTGTGGGAATTCGGCCGACGAGATAGGCGAAGAAGCCATTGAAGATGGAGGAGAAGTAGGCAAACATGACTATTTAGATGGTCAGTATAATCGAGGCTTCTAGAACCAAAGGAGCTGGAGGGGGTTACTGACTTGCGTTGCGAGAAGGCTGTTCGGCCTTGGTGTAGAAAGACTGGACAATGAGAGTCAAAGATGGAAAGATGACTGCTTCAGCTAGACCCAGGAGGAACCGAAGCGCCATGAAAGCACCCCAGGTGTGGCAAGCAGCGTATATTAGTGTCAGACCCGACCAGATCAAACCACCAAAGCAAAGAAGCCTTCCGGGTGGAACACGCTGAAGAACGTATGGTGTAAGGAAGAGACCTAGGAGTTGCTGATTGTTTCAGTCAGAACGCTTGATCTAACGAGTAGAGTACGTTATGGATTGACGACAACTTACGCCCACAGACAGGATACTTCCTAGCCAGCTGAACTCGGAGCCGGTGAGTTTGTTATTCTCGAGGAAGTCATACAGGGCCGCAGTGGACAGCTGAACCTTGTCAACAGCAGCCAGGGTGGTTGTGAAGAGACCCAATGGGATGAGCCATGCATCAATCTTTCGCTTGATTTTCTTTTCCATCTCAGGAGTCATCGGAGGGTAGTCGGCGTGGGCAGCAATGAACTTGGCTGCCTGGTCACGAGTCTCGTCGTCGTCCATCTTGCCATTATGGACTGAGATGTTTGCGGTATCCTTTGCACCAGGTGCAATGTCGGATGGCCGAGGTTCCGAGTCTTTGGACTTGTCGGCAGTCATGGCTGTTTTGGTAAAGGAGCTGATCAAGTTGGGCAAAGAGGAATAGTCTGGATGGATGAGTGTGGTGTGTCCCGGCACTGGCGATCGTGTTGGTGATGTAGAAGAGTTCTTATAAGTCGATCGATGGACGCGTATCTCCTTGTCACCAGATTTTGTTCGCGAGATAAGCGGCGGAGATTGGGGAACGACCCATCCATCTGTTGCTATCTCCCCCAGATTCTATGCAACGCCAAGATCGAGCCCACTAGTGACCCCGGCTGATCACTCGCGTGGCCTAATTGACAAAGCGTTATCTTGTACAAGGATATTATTTGCCAATTGGTAATAGAATGGTCTCGCCCGTGATATGTGTGCTGGGAGAGGGCAGTCCGAAACGAGTTGACTTTGATATATGCACCTAACGAGAAGGATTTATCTTATGCATACCGGTGGAGGAGACTAGCACCAACTTAGAAAAGTGTATGACAGTTACCGGGGCACTGGAATGGACCAAGTGGGGATGAAGCTGGTCTGCTGATACAACCGACATTCAAAGGCAACTCGAATCGAAGGTTGCCCCATCCGCTTATACCCGCCATCTACCCGGTACCATGGAGAGGCTCCGATCGGCATCACAAGCAGCTGACGGATGCTGGCTGTGGGGAGTGATTTATCATTCTGATAAAGCGGAGATGAAAAGATATCGTGGGGTTGCTTTGTATACTCGCCGTGGCAGATTCAAAAGGTGAGCAACGGCCGTGTTTTCAGACTGTGATTCAAGCTGGTCAAAGACTGCTCTGATCAATATCACTCCTTCACACAAAGACTTGTCACACAGTGCAGTCTTCAAGATGCAGCCTCCAACGTCTGGTGTCACAATTGCCATCGGTAACAATATCAACTCAATCCATCTATCTAGACGAGCCCGCTAATGTTGCGATAGATCGAGGTGGCACATTCACAGACGTCCTCGCTCTGATCCCCGAAAAGCCAGATTACTACTTCAAGCTGCTCTCTGTAGATCCTAGCAACTATCCAGATGCCACAATTGAGGGTATCCGGAGGGTTCTCGAGCACGTCCGCGGCCATGAGATCCCTCGCGGTGAGCCGTTGGACACAACTGGCGTAGCAGTCATTCGAATGGGCACGACTGTTGCCACCAACGCATTATTAGAGCGCAAGGGCAGCAAGTGCGCTCTCCTGATCACCAAGGGTTTTGGAGACCTAGGCGTTATCGGCGACCAGAGCCGCCCAAACCTCTTCGACCTGAACGTGAGGAAGCCAGGCGCTTTATACGAGAAGGTCGTCGAAATTGACGAGCGAGTCACGCAAGAGTCATACGCCGAAGATCCGTTGGAGCGCAGCTTCACCGAGCGGATTGACGGCGTTGAAGTCAAGACTGGAGTCACAGGCGAGGTCTTCCGCGTTCTGAAACCACTAGGTATGGTTATACATGTTTTCTTCTCCGGAATAAAAATTCGAGTTAAGCGCCAACTGACAAACACACAGAGGAGGTCGCTGTTTCCAGCCAGCTCAAGGCGCTGTACGACGACGGGTTCCGCAGCATTGCTGTCTGTTTAATACACGGATACAATTATCAAGGTACGCCAAGCAGGCCAATATCACGCGAGAGCCAATAACTAATAGTAGCCGCAACAGAGCACGAGGCCCGTATCGGCAAGCTTGCTTCCGCAGTTGGATTCACCAGCATCTCATTATCTCATAGCCTTATGCCAGTAATTAAGTTGGTCAATCGCGCACATTCCACCACAGCCGATGCCTACCTTACTCCTGTCACCAAGGAGTACATCGATGGCTTCCTTCAGGGCTTCAAACTAGGATCTGAAAATCACACCAGAATTGAGTTCATGCAGTCAGATGGTGGTTTGGTCAGTTTCGACAAGTTCAGCGGCCTTCGTGCTATCCTTTCTGGCCCAGCTGGCGGTGTTGTAGGATATGCTCGAACTTGCTATGAAACCACTGACCCCAAGCCTGTGATTGGCTTTGATATGGTAAGATATTATAACTGTTTTGCAAGAATAAAAACACCTCTGACGATGCGCGACTTAGGGTGGCACCTCAACCGATGTTTCGCGATATGGAGGCTCGTATGAGCACATTACGAACTCTGTCACTGCTGGTGTTCATATCAACTGTCCCCAGCTTGACATTAACACGGTAGCTGCTGGAGGAGGTTCTATTCTCTTCTTCCGCAATGGATTGTTCGTTGTTGGACCCGAGTCGGCTGGCGCTCACCCGGGTCCAGCTTGCTACCTGAAGGGAGGCCCTCTGACAGTTACCGACGCCAATCTTGTCCTCGGTCGCATTCTTCCCGAAACCTTCCCCAAAATCTTCGGGCCTAACGAAGACCAGCCCCTGGGCGCCGATGTTACCCGCCAGAAGTTTGCTGAGTTGACTGCGACCATCAACGAAGAGATTCGCGGCCAGCGGCCAGAGATGACCATTGAAGAGGTCGCCTTGGGTTTCTTGCAAGTTGCGAACATCAACATGTCGAAGCCAATCAGGGCTCTCACAGACACCCGTGGCTTTGATACAACTGCCCACAATTTAGCAAGCTTTGGTGGTGCAGGAGGTCGTAAGTTCATACCACACAACATCAAAATGGAGACTATATAATGATGCTAATACATGCCGTAGAACATGCTTGCGATATTGCCCAAGCTCTGGGAATCTCTCGCGTCGTCATTCACAAATACTCCTCCATCTTATCTGCATACGGTATCGCCCTTGCAGATATTGTGGAAGAGAGGCAAGAGCCATCCTCAAAAGTATACGACTCGGAAACCGAGTCTCACTTTTCAGCTCGTCTGCAAACACTGGCAACGGAGGCAGAGAAGGCCCTTGAGGGGCAGGGAATCTCGAAAGACTCGATCCGCATGGAGAGTTTCCTGAATATGCGATACCACGGCTCCGACAGCCAGTTGATGATCCCAGTTTCTACGAGCGGCTCAAGCGTGTTGGACGACTTCACAAAGACTCACTTAAGAGAGTTTAGCTTCGTGGATAAATCAAGGAAGATCGTTGTTGACGATATCCGAGTACGAGCTAGCGGGTCTAGCCATCGCCTGGAAGAGAGATCATTCCAGGAGGATCTCGAGAGTATCAAGAAAACAGCGTATGACCTCGACAAAGAGACCAAGAAGAGCAAAGTTTACTTCGAAGGAGGTTGGCAATCAACTCCCGTTCTTACTCTGGACAGTCTTAAGCCTGGCACCGTGGTCAATGGTCCGGCCATCGTTCTGGACAAGACTCAAACTATTGTTGTTACTCCTTCCTCCAAGGCCACTGTCCTGGAGCGTCACGTAGTTGTTGACCTGGGCCTTGAAAGAAAGAAGTCTGTGAACGCTGAGGAGGTCGACCCAATCCAGTTGGCAATCTTTGGCAACCGTTTCATGTCCATAGCCGAGGACATGGGAAGAACTTTACAAAGTACGTTAGCACACTTTAAATACTCGCTCACTATATGCTATATCATCTAACATCCATCCTAGAAATCTCTATCAGCACCAACGTGAAGGAGCGTTTGGACTTCTCGTGCGCAATCTTCGACGGCGAGGGATCCTTGACAGCAAATGCACCTCACGTACCTGTGCATCTGGGGTCTATGTCCCGCGCTGTCAAGATTGCTATGAAGCACTGGGAAGGGAATCTGAGCCCTGGTGACGTGATTGCTACCAATCATCCTGCAGCTGGTGGAACGCATCTTCCCGATATCACACTTATTTCTCCAGTCTTCGACAGATCTGGCCAGCATATTGACTTCTTTGTTGCTGCACGCGCCCACCATGCGGAAATCGGTGGTATTGCCCCTGGCTCTATGCCCTCAGACTCTGTCGAGCTCTACCAAGAGGGTGTTGCCTTCGAGCAGTGGAAGATCATCTCGAAAGGAAAGTTTGACGACGAGGGTGTTCAGCATCACTTTGTTGACGTCCCCGGCTCGTACCCTGGCTGCAGCCCTTCACGCCGCGTTCACGACAATATTGCAGATCTCAAAGCCCAGATCGCCGCCAACCAGAAGGGTATCAACCTAATTCACAGCCTTTTTGAGGAATACGAGCGTGAAACGGTGCTATTTTACATGCGCGCCGTGAAGCAGACGGCTGGAGTTGCAGTTCGTGACCTCCTCAAGGCCACGGCGAAACGGTTCGAGGGAGAGATGCCATTAACGGCCGTTGACTATCAGGACGACGGGACGCCAATCAAGCTGGCGATTTCCATCGACGCTGAAAAGGGCGAGGCGGTCTTCGACTTTGCCGGCACTGGGCTGGAGACTTTCAATTGTTTCAACGCACCCCTCGCTATCACTCACTCCGCTATTCTTTACGTCCTCCGCTGTCTCGTGGGCATGGATATTCCCCTCAACGAAGGTAGGTGTAGTTACACTATTGTGAAAAATATTTCGACTAACTGGACCTAGGTTGTATGGAGCCTGTCACCGTCAACATCCCCGAGGGTACCATCCTCAACCCCTCTCACAACGCTGCTGTGTGTGCCGGCAACCCCCTCACATCCCAACGCATCACCGATGTCATTCTCAAGGCATTCCGTGCCTGTGCTGCTAGTCATGGCTGCATGAACATTCTGTCTTTCGGAGTAGGAGGCTGGGACAAGGAGACGAAGCAGTTTGTGCCCGGTTATGGTTACGGAGAGACTATCGCCGGTGGATGTGGCGCCGGTCCTGGCTGGCACGGATACAGCGGCAGTCATGTACATATGACAAACACCAAGATCACGGACCCTGAGATCATGGAGAAACGAGTAAGTTTATTTAACGAAAGCCTGTGAGATGCCTAGCTAACGATGTAATAACAGTACCCCGTCGTTTTGAATCAGTTCTGCCTGCGCCCGGATTCAGGAGGCAAGGGTCAATGGAAAGGAGGTAACGGAGTCATTCGCGAGGTTATCTTCACGGAGCCTTGCCACGCTTCCGTTCTCTCGCAACGTCGTGTGTATAGCCCTTATGGTATGGCTGGTGGTGAAGACGGCGCTCGAGGTATCAATTATCTCGGCCGAAAGATGAAGGATGGAAGCGTGAGGTGGATCAACATTGGAGGAGGCAAAGAGATTGATCTTCACGCTGGTGATCGCATCATGCTTTGCACCCCCGGTGGTGGCGGGTATGGAAAGCCTCTTAAGATCAACGGCGTTGGACTCAATGGGCATGTGAACGGGCATGTGAACGGGAAAGTGAATGGGCATGCGAATGGACATCCAAATGGGTATGTTAATGGAGAATCCAAGTTCCAAGCTCCTATCCCGAGAGCCAATGGAAGCTTGCGTGAGTATGAATCGAACCAGCAAGCATCAAATTAGACTATTGTTAGGTTATTTACTATTTTGTAATATCGAAATGAGAATAAAGTTAAATTTGATTCTCTCTCCCTGGGTGCAAGACTGGATATTTTAAAGGGCCTGAATCTTGGGGAGACAAAGTCCCTGTATCTCTGCCTGATATCACCAATCCGTACTCTGGCATCTTCTATTGCTGTTGAACTTTATACTCTTTCTCACATTATTACCTATGCGTATAGCTATAGAGGTATAAATTGAAGGATGTTGATACTACATTCTATACGCATATCCCGCAAAGAGCAAGACTTCTCTCTAATTCCATCAGTGATTTTTGGCTGAGTCACTGGTAATCTTGGCTACCCTGGAGGTTAGAAATGCGCACTACAAGCGTCGAGAGATGAAACTGGTCTATTGTGAAAAGGAGAGTTAAGAATAGAAACACCGAGAGTTTCAACTGATAACTTTCAATATCGCCTTCAAATGGAACAAAATTTTCACTCTCAGACTGTGTACTGCACTTAGAATATTTAACACTATTGACATGTTATGTGCCAAAGAAAAGGCCAACAGTTAGCTGGCATGGGTTTGTTCAATAAACCTGGACTTCTAGGTGAAACTCAGCTTTTCACAGAATTTCATACGAGCAATACGAAGCAAACGAGGCACGGACTAGAGAATCAGAGTTCAGTTAGTTTAAGCATAGTAATCAGGGTGATCAACACATCTTTCTTAATCGAGCGGCTATCGAGTCGCTGAACGGTCCAAGCATGTCTTGGTGTACCAAGAACCCGGACAGTGGGTGTATGTTAGAATGGGTCTTGTGCGGAGGCGTAGTTGCCCACCTGAATTACGATGGCTAGTAACTAGTGTGACGCCGGGGTTATATTGCGTTATTGTCGTTTTGATTGTCTCCAAGTTAGCTCTATTCAGAGGCGAGGAACGGTGACTGGTTTTATCACCAGCTGAAAGACAGCCGCCTTCATCTCCACTCTTCTAGGTAGCTACTGCTACAGCTGAAACAGCCGGCGAGCAGCCCGGAAACGACATCAAGCCCACCTGACGCAGGTGTAAGCGTAGCTTGCTATTGTTATAACATTCACGCTAACTTAGGCCCTGATTCAAGAACCACGAAACATTTTGCTCCAGAATGCCAAGAACATAACCTTGAGTTATAAGGTATCGAGGTACTATTTCTATTCCATATTTCGAATTTCCTAACTCCTCGGAGCAAGAAAATAAAATACTAAAATCCCATCAGAAGCTTAGTACCTAGCCCTCCTAAGGCTATTCTACTAAGCTCGGAGACCTCTATTTAGCTCTTCTTGGAAAGGCATATCTTCCTGTAGATCTCGTGAGGTTCTACAGCCAGAAGGGGAATCGCTTCTCTTTTGGTGAAAATCTGGTATCCTTTCCAGCTAAAAATTCCCATTTCCAGGTTCCTGAATCAGGGCCTACACTCAGACTATTGAGCTGCCAAAGTAAAGTGCCCCCCCCTGATGATCGTTCAGTCCCCGTTCGGCAGTACAGCCCGAGCCGCACTCTGACCAAAACCACGCACTAGTATCATCTGAGTATAGTGACACTAAATTACATATGGTTAGTACGTCGAGAGCGGTTCCTTTCGATTTGATATCTCAGCTATCATAGCAGATCACCCATCACAGCAGCACTATACCTAAAGATGTACTAGATGGCGTAGCTTTGGTTAGGCCAGGGTGTAGTTCGGATTGTACTGCCCGTTCTGTATTTATGACTATCAACTAATGCGTGAATACGTATTCATCTACTAGCCGTGCAACCTCGCGCCCAAGACCGAAACTATAGATGTAACCGCCGGCAGTAACCCCGTAGGCGTGGATCGTCTTCTGCCCATTGATCACCTCCTTCTCCACTCTCACTTCAGGTAGTCTCAATGGTCGGATCCCTTCGAGGTCCGTGACGAAAGTGTAGTCGCTAACCTCACCGGAAGGAAAATCATTAGGTAAACCTGCGTGCGCCAACCGAACTAGCTGAATGTAGGCGTTGTTCGTTAGCCACCGCTCTCACGCTGAGCCGCAAGGGTAAGCTTTTGGAAGCTCCTTACCTCTGTACGTGTGAATTCCGTCAATCTTCTCTCATTGCTAACAGGCTCCGAGATGCCTCCAAGAACTGCAGTGCCATCGTGGCGACCAAATATGTAGGTATAGCCATTCGCCCCGCGGCGAACGAAACTCTGGCGGTATTCAGACTTCACCACTGCCGTATATGTACGGTCTATGATGATCTTCTCATCCTGCACATCCTCAAGAGTTATTGAGGCCAAGCCCGACGCATTGATCAGAATGTCGTGGCCAAGATAGGACAGCGCGCCAAGTGAGCTGATGGTCTCAATACGCTGGAATGCAACCCCTGTAGCCTCAAGACGGCCCCGGAGCCAGGGAAGAAAGACGGCTGGAGTGAGGGTGAAGCTATTGTACTTCACAGCCAAATCAACCGCCTGGCCACTAGGTACCTGCGCTGGATTCAGCTCCTGATATCCGGGAACCATCTCGTGATACCAGAGCTCCTTGGCTGAAGTGGCTCCAACCTCATAAAGGTCTGTGAGTTCTGAGCACCTGATGGAGGACTCAGGGTTAGTTTTGGCCAGCTTGGAACAATAGGCTAGAGTGTCGAGCTGCATCTTCTGCTCAAGAGGGGTGCCTCCGAGAGCCACCCAGCCAGCGCATGCCCAGGGGCTGCACCATCTTTGCGATGGGTCATCGCCAGGAAGATCCCGTGCAACTATGGTAATCTCATAGTTTTTGGGCAGTTGGCTGGCGATTGACATTCCAGTGATGCTGGTAGAGAATATCCGTTAGCGACAAGGGATGTAGGATATCATGGCAAGGTAGGAGGTAATACCCAGCGCCGAAAATGGTTATCTTAGTCATGATAGATGGTATGGTCTTTCGTCAACTGGTTATCCAAGGGTGGAGTAGAAACCCTTCTGCCAAAGGGGACCAAAAGTATTCCTTTTTAAGCCTGCCGGACGGAGGTGGGGAGACAGCAGCTGAATCAAGCTGTGAGCCCACGTGAGGGCTTAATCTCGCGTCTAGGTTTACGAGAAGAGGCAAGTTATCGCCCAGAAAGGGCATTGGCTTGCAATCAACAGACATGGATGGGAGTGGAAATATCACGCTCACAAGACTCAAACGGTCTAACTGCCTGGACGCTCCGTTAGGCCGAAAGGGTTGAGTAATGAACCTGAAAGGATTCGTTAGAGACGCATCTGAAGGGATCATCGGTCAGAATGTCCCGGTACATGGTGATGATGTACTGGTACCTTCGATTGAAGGTGCTAATGCCTTCCTCATTGTGTCCTATTGAAGTTCCAATAGGTGTCCACACGATTCACGCACGTGGAGTGTGTGAGAAGCATTGATGATTTTGAATAGCTGAACTATTTTAGATCTGATTGGCCGCCCATTGACGTGCATTGGCCTTCGAGGTTCTGGGAACAGCCATCTTGGTCTAGCATCAGTTGTCTAGGTTTGTCCAGAATCAACTAAATCACTAGGTTTTCCTTCCGCGGACCGGGAAAAGGCACCCGACTTCCCGCATTTGGTTTGATGTAGGAAGGAGGCACTAACGTGTGACATGGATGATGTGCCTGACGGAGTATGTGCCATAGGTCCAAGGTGGGTGGTCTGGAGAAGCGTTGGTAGTTGTTGTTCGGTCCAGATCATAATCCTTCGCGCCTCGCACCATTGAAACTAATTAGAGAATAGGATGAAGACTGCGACGCCGAGAGCCGGACATGAAACCATTATGACGTACGAGTTGGGATTGAGACACAAGCTGTTGTTGGCATAAGGAGAAACGGCACCAATTTGTTCACTAAGCGATCCTATTGAGCCATTAACCGCTTGAGCAAAAGCCTTAACTTGTGACAAGACTTGTACTTATCACACCTGATAACCCGTTTTAACACACCCTCTCAGATTTGACTTATCATAAGCTACATCTGGACTTTTAAACTCTTCGAGCCTTTCCTCTCATCTGTAGTTGGGCTTATCTGGGGCCCAAGTATGAACTTAGTAGTTTCAACTATCTTGAAGAGGTATAGCTCTCAGACTCTGCATCGTTGAACCATTGCCCGCTTGGCCAAAAGGTTTGACCTGTTGTAAGCTTGGTATCTATTACACCATATGGCCAGTTCTAAGCGATCCCACGTAGTGAACTCTCAAACTGGTGTAAGGTTACTGACATGACTAGGTTTCCTAACTGGAATGTGGGTGTACAAGCACGCGGATGCAGGATGAAGGAAGCGATCGAGATTGATGGATTTGATTTAATATAGCTGTTCACTTGCGAGGAGGCTAGGTTAACATCCCTGTGTTTTCCCTGTGGTCACGGAGACCTCTTGGCTAACTACCCCAATGCGAAGCTGCACAACGTGGTGGGATTCAATCTACATCTGCTATTGGAGACTTAAGTCTGACATCAGATGACCGCAGTGGGAGACAAGTGCACATCCTTCGCCGGCCCATGGCAGTTCGGATCATGCTTGCCCAAACATGACTACTTGATAGCTTGATGAGCTGAAGTAGGTATTAACGCGACCCCTGCTAGCGGGATATATGAAATGCACGGTATTGATAAGGATAGGAAGGTTATCAAAGTTCAAACTATATGGTATCTACCTAATACCTGGTTAGGGAATGGTTGGTCCTTAGGCGATCGTTTGGCGGTATCCTATCACTCCCTTAAGGGGTTCTTGGGGTGAAAATGAGGGGGAGTGGGCCGGAGACGACAGTGAAAGTATCCTGCTTCTTTCCAAGGAAAGATGCCTTTTCGTAGCCTGGCGCCACGGTAATATTGTACCGAGTCAGGATCTCGGCAGTGACTCGCCGGATTTCTATCAACGCTAATCTCTTTCCCACGCATGCGTACGGGCCTGGTTCGTTGTCAGTTGAGCGCCAGCCATTGTGATTTCTATGCTAGTTTGATAGGAAGAGGAAAATAAGCATACCAATATTGAAAGGAACAAAGACAGATTTGTTCTTGACAAGCTCCTTGTCTGTCGTCCAACGATCAGGGAGAAACTCTGTAGGTCTCTCAAAGTTGCGTGAATCTGTCATTTCACACAAGGATACTGTCAGCCGGCATCATCGATCGATTATCGAGGCGAATGGGGCACATACCTCTGAAGACTGTATACGATGGCACTTGCACGATGGTGTTCCCAGGGATTTGTTTATCACCGATACGGAGCCCTTCTGGGGGGGTAACTCGCTGCGTGCCGGAAGGAACCGGCGGGTGTAGCCGAAGCGTCTCATTAATCACGGCGTCTAGGAGTGCAACGTTGATTAAATGTGAGTTGTCTAGACTAGGGAGAGCATCGAATGCATCCTGTAGTCTTCTGGTAAGACTTGCGTCATAAGCAAGTTCGTAGAAAATATGAGTGAGAGTCGCCGCCACAGAGTCGCTTCCGGCAATGACAATTAGTTGTGCGTCTCCGTGTAGATTCCAATCATCTTTCTGAGTTTTCTCCCCCTGATTGTAGTTGCTTAGTATCCAGGAGAAAATGTCGGGTTGGTCCGGCTCATTCTAAAGACGGGAGTTAGATATTTTGACAGATTAAGATCTTGGTTTTATTAACATACCTTTCGCCTCTCGTTAATCTGGTTTTGAATCCAGTTCCAGAACTTGATATAATTCCAGTTCAAGAGCGGAGTCCTTTTTAGAAAGGGCAACAGCCAAGGAAGATGGGCGAAGAAGGCAATGTTAAACATATCAGTTCGTATGGTTTGGAATATATACGAATCTTCGCCATGGCGAATCATATTGGAGTTCTTGTTGAAAGCTAGGTCCTCCATGACGTCGAAAACGAAAAAGTCAAACCACTTGGTGATATTGATCGGTTGCTTGTGGTCGCGATCAATAACTTGAAGGAGCTCATTGATTGCCTTGGTGATTCGAGGATCGTATCCAAGAAGTGCTATCCAAATGAACGCGTTAGTGATATCCCCATTAAAGTAGATCTAGTGATGCTATGGCGAGAATCCTCACCTTTGGTACTGAATCCTTGGTCCCAGACCTTGCGGCGCCGCGCGTGCTCCTCCTTGTCGCGAGCCATGAAAAGCGGGTAGCGAGGTTCGAGGAGTGTGTACCAAGGGCCCTTGACCGTTGGAGATTGAGTGCCATAGATGGCTTCAACGGCAGCTGGATCAGTAATCGACAGCTCCGACGGGCCTTGATGATGTGAGCTCATGATAAGGGCCGAGGAGTGTGAGAGTTACACGCGACTTACCAAGGCGCACGTAATCTCCATACTGATGATGAATATGTTCAACTTCCTTAAAAAGCTGGAGATTTCTCACGGAGCGAGCTGTGATATAGAAGTTGCTAAGCTTGGCTAAAAAGGGACCTGGATATCTGGAGAGTCGATGGAAGAAAGCCCGATAAATGAGCATGCTAGAATATAAGCCGACAATGTAAGAAATGGCCACTTCAACTGCTTCGTTAAACGGGAGCTGGAGGCGAGCCTTTGCCACCCCAGATGCTATCAGGAATGCCATAAGATGACCAACGAAGATCTGGGGCGAGAGCACATCCCATTCGCCTATCCGAAAGACAAGTAAGTGTGCCGATGCACCGCCAAGGTAGGCCAAAAAGCTCATGCCGTTGAATGGAAACATCGTTGCTAACCTGAGTCAAATATGGTATTATGTCGATGTTATTTGTTGGAACAGAAACTTGATCAAAACGCAGTCTGACCAAGATACGAAGAACTACGACTTGAGGAGGGATCGAAAGGAAGATAGATAGAACCTTGATTGTTACGTGTCCTGTAGGCTGTGACATAATGTGGCTGGGAATTCATCAAATAGGTCCATCTTCGTTGGTTGATCTGTATTGTCAACTGAACCCGTGGATCCTCCATGCAACACAAAACCTTGCCAAGTTGGCTTCTGGTTGGTCTGATCAGAAGGCGTCTAGATCGTAGGATTGCTTGCCTATTCGGGTATCGGGAAGAAGGGGGTGTCGTTACGAAACTGTACACGCCCAATAGCTTGTGCTAAAGTGCCCACACATGGCTTCCAATACTGTCTGTCGACAAAGGACGCTATGATACGACAAGATCCATTAATTTCTGATTCATTGACGGAATCTCATGACCTCTACGGGTGTAGCAGACCCATTATCATGATGTACACATACAAGGGGTTCTCCCCCCGACATGATGCGTCTCACGTCAGCCCTTGTGGATGGCGGGAGATCAGATCTAACATTGTCTCATTGACCAATAGGGTCTTTACAGGCCATGGAACACAATAGCTCGCTTGATCTGGCAGCACGTTGGCGCCCTGACGAAGGCGAGGGTCGATATCAAAGTCCTCCTGCTAGATGCATCTATATAAGTCTCCACACGCTCACCGTCCATGGGATTCACTTATACAACTCTTTCCAGTAAAAGCCTCAAATATCGCTCGTGTGATTGTTTTTCTAACAGAGAAATATGACATTGGAAATAACAGCCCGAGATGCATCTCCAGCCTCTTGGCTTCAGAGAAGGACTGGCAGTATCCAACTGAAGCAACATAATATTTTCCTTTCCGTAAGTCAGACATAGATATGATGGCATACCCATTTTCCTGACTGATCAACTAACTAACCCAACAAGCTTGCTCTTCTCGACTCCGACTGCATCCCAGTTTCCAATGGCCGCGACATATTGGGAGGAGATGAAGCTGACAATCAATCGGACGCCTTTTCAGCGGTCCTTCGAGAGCACATAGACTTCAAAGCCTCTTTGCTGCCTGGGGATGTTGAGAAGAATTGCTTCGCCCAAAGCTGCAGAGCTGAGGTGGATGCTATCTACATCTTCTTTCCCGGAGCATTGTCAGAGAAAGTCCGTATTTGCTTCGCCGCCTGGCTAGCATTTGCATGCGCTATGGATGACATCGTCGAGACACTGCCCTCTGACTTGGGTCAAGCGGCCATACGCGACTGTATTGAAATAGTCCAAGGCCGCCCTGCGGACGTTTCTAATGATACCCAAGGTATTTGCTGCCATAGGATCAAAAATCATGGATAGATCTAACTCGATTGCCATCATTCTAGGGCATGTAGGCGATGCAAGGACCCAGCATCTGACGAGAACGTTGCATCAACATATCACACGTCATCTTCGCCAAGAGACATGCGAGGTGTTCTTCCGCGAGGTCTGCGGTGTGATGTGTGCGCATATTGATGAGTTCTTGTTCTTGGACGGCAAAATTCCCCAAGACTTGGATACATACATGTCGATCCGCAGCCGTACCATCTCTCTCAGCCCATTCTTCGAGGTTATTAAACGGGAGTATTTCCCTACAAGCTGGCGGTCAACCACAACCTGGGACCGGCTACAAGAAGCTGTGTGTTCTGCAGCTGGACTACAAAATGATCTGGTGGGCTTGGAAAGAGATATAAAGAATGGCGAGCAGATGAATGCCGTCATTGTTCTGATGCGTAGTCAAGCTGAGACTGGCTCAACCGATGAGACTCGCTCGCTATTAGCTCGGTGCGTAGGTACCGCAGTTGACGAGCATAATAGGATGATGGAAACAGTATTCGAACAAGCAGCACGAATACTTGAAATGGACGGAAGAGATCAAGCGACGAGCCAGGTTGTGCAGCACATAGCTACAATGGCCAGGAGCCACCTGACATGGTGTGCTTCAGCGAAGAGGTACATGGTCACATTGGATCATGATGAGTAAATTGTAACCATGTATTACATGTATTAGTTTTGTAATTTAATTGAACTTAAACGCCCTGTTTGAAGTAGTGGGAACACCGATTCGTATGCAAATGACACACAAAGTCCCCGAAGGTGGAGGGAGGGGTGTGACCCGGACTCAGTAGTAGCTCACCAAGCTAACGTAGTCCGAATCCTTCCTTGCATATCCCTGTTTAACTAGGGCCGGGTTGACGGACGTTGTACGTCTTGAGTTCTTGCTAATGTGGCGTAGAGGAATACGGGATAAAAGGGTTCCTCAATGGTCGTCTCCTGCGTCTTCCAGCCATTCGAGAAACATGGTGGCAGGACACGTCAGCAAAATGATCAACCAACAGACTGTAGTCCATTCAAATGGGATATTTCATGGTCTTCCAACCTATCCTAGTACCGAGGGTACACAAAACCTGACAGCCCTTGTGGCGGGGGCTACGGGTCTATCTGGCTATCACCTGGTCAAAGTGTTGGCTGCGTCACAGCGCTGGACAAAGATATACTGCCTGAGTTCGAGGCTTCTTCCTCAAAACTTCTTCCTTGATCTTGGAGATGGCAGTGGGAAAGTCGAGCACGTGGCCATTGACTTTCTTCGGCAGCCAGCCGAAATTGCGGAGTGTCTCAGTGGCACGATCAAGGACGTGTAAGTACTCATACTCAACGTGTGCTTGTGGTAGCTCTGGGGCTTCGCTGAAAGATTTCACAGCGATCACGTATTTTATTTCTCGTATATGCAGCCACCTCCCAAAGGTGATGTCTTGGACCTCTGGGCTCATGCTGATGAGCTGGCAAAGATCAACCGTAAGCCACCTTCCCCCCTGTTTTAGATCTTACTGACCTTTCCGCCCGCCCATCAGTGTCTTTGTTTCGAAATTTCATCGGTGGTCTACAGCTAGCAGGCTTAAAACCAAAGAGATTTATGCTCCAGACAGGATCTAAACACTATGCGTTTTACCTTGGCCCAGCGGCAATTCCAGCTTTCGAATCTGACCCGCGTGTGACGATTGATGACAATTTCTACTACGCACAGGAAGATGCCCTCGTCTCTTACTGCAAATTGAACGGATCACAATGGACCGTATCACGGCCCACGTATATCATCGGAGCAGTTCGCGACGGGTCTCTGAACCATCTCATCGGCTTCGGAATTTACGCTTCGGTACTGGCGTACATGAAGCAGCCGCTCTTGTTTCCTGGGGACTACCGTGCTTGGGACCGTGAACAGCACCAGAGTTCGGGCTTACTGAATGCTTATTTCCAGGAGTGGCTAGTTCTGTCCGAAAGCACCGCTGGTGAAGCATTCAACATCCACGATGGAGATTCATTCACTTGGGGGCGGCTCTGGCCCTATCTTGCTCAATGGTATGGTGTCGAGTGGCATCCTCCAGAGACAAATGATTCCAAGTATCGAACTATGAAGATGGCACTTCCTAAAACACCAAGAGGGTGAGTTCAAGTGTGAAAACTGCAGATAAAAGACGTATCAGTAATTATGTCGCTAACTATTATCAAGATATGGCCCTCAGGCAACAATGAGGTCGACATTCAGCCTTCTCGAGTGGTCGTTGAAGCCCGAGGTTGAGCAGGCATGGAAGGAAATTGCTCACAAGCATGACCTGGTGCTGAATCCATTTGATCCCCTTTACCGCGCTCGCATCTTCTCATTCTCTGACTCGGCTGTCATCGGGGATGGCGCAATGACCTTGAGTATGCGGAAAGCTCGCAAGCATGGCTTTTTCGGCACTGTGGATTCTTATCACTCCATATTTGACTCTCTACAGGAGCTTGCCAGATTGAAGATGATCATGCCACCAGTTGTGGGTGTATTTGTTGAGTAGATTTGACAAGAGAGAATCCATAATATCTTGGTGAAATTTAGTGTCTTCCTAAGAACCACAAATCCGTAGTGCAAGACTGTGCTTGAACCATCAAAGTATCCTACCCCGGATGTAACGGAGTTAATGTTATATTGTTTCGGGGTCGTGTTGGACACGAAGTCGGTATCTAGTGGTTTGAATAGAGGATAGAGCTGCAAAAGCTCCTTAAGTCAAAATGAAGTTTTAGATCCTTGGCGATATAGACGTTTGATTGGCAGAATAGATGGCGTGGTTTCAGATCTATATCACTACCAAAGAAGGATATTACTCTGCGCATGGGCGCGGCTTGAACTTCTTGAGCTATTCACCTTCTACGAGTACGTTCATCTGCACGGTGGGTAAGTCCCTTCAATAACCCATGAGTTCCCCTGCCCTCAACCACTAGATCCCCATATCTCCCTGAGGAAATCCTCCACTTGGGAAAATTCATGATCTGGCAGAATCTCATTCCACTCGTCCGTGACCGTCCAAAGACCATTTTTAGCACCAAGCATTACGGAAATTGTTGCCAGCTTTGAGAAGGACTCGACCTGGTCTTCTGGAACATCTGGAAAGGGTACTCGGAAGAAGTTGTCGGTTTTGAGCTCCCCAGCTTCAACGTCTTTCTGCTCCAAGCTTTCAATTACGAAGGGAGTCCCTGCAACTGATTTCAGCATAACTATCATCGCGCAAAAGGGATCTTCAACCGTCGTGGTTGTCAACATACCACGGACTCGCTCTCCAACTCGAATGAGATCTTCGAAACTGATTTGATTCCCACTCACACCTCCAATAAGTGGCCATTCACCTTCATACTCAATAGCACGGGCAACGACTTTGGCAACGTCGCTAGCAGCCGTAAATGTGATTTTATCAGTCAGTGAGCCTGAAAGCACGAGAGCATGGCATTTTTCAATGTCAACGGTCATGGGCATTGTCGTCAGATATTTGGAGACCCGGTGCGGGTGACCCAAATAATCCATCAATATGCCAATTTGAAAACAACTATACTCAAGGACCTATGCATTGTTAACGCAACATCCATTGTCCCGGGAAGTCAAAGCTCTCTTCACACCTTCTTCTCCTTGTTCAACTGCTGTAAATAGTGACGAATCTCCACTTTGCCTGCGTTCCACGGTGCGAGATCGAGATGAGCGTCCAGCTTCATGCTTCTGCTTTCTGGTCAGCTATTCGGATTCAACAGATGGCTAAGGTAGTATCATACGTTGCCCACTCAGCGGGTGCATAACGCCTAACCCCTGCTTTAACTGCAGCATCGATGAGCATCTTTTGAGTAGCATTGCCAGGGTCGCGATGCACGGCAAAGACGCAAAGCAAGGTGTCCACTCCTTTTAGCAGTTGGACAAGCTCGGACTCAGATTCATATGAAGTCTGAGCCCACGTGACTCCTGGCAGCGGAGGCAATAGTGAGGGTTCCTTGAGAGTTTCAGTCATTGGGAAGTCTCTGGTTAAAGTTCGAGGAGTCAGAACGAGGCATACCCTGCGAACCAATGCAATAATTTCATGCTTCTGGCGCTCGACTATTCCGTCTAATATCTCCCGGCCAAGTTCTGTTTCAATTTGTTTAGCATTGATTTGCCAAGAAACATGGTTCATATATAGAACATACCACCTGCCGCTCCGGCGATTGCTACCTTTACCATGTTTATGCTGTATAATGACCGATTCTGGGTTGCTGAGACAAACGCCAATGCTTTAGAGAAACCAATCTTTTATATACCACAACTTGACTTATACCAACTAGAACAATCATATATCGCAAGCTTCTCTGAGGTATGATGCAACAATACCTATATGCTCCTCACGTAACCGGAGGTCCAGTCTGGCCGGTGGAGGATGAGTCTGTTACGTGATCGGGCTGAAATTCCTCCGACTACGAGGATCCCTGTTCTTCATGGTTTCCCCGCCATTGGCACAACTTCGACTGAATGAAAAAATTGGTTCGAAATCATACAACATTCAGCAAAGCAAAGTATGTCTTCTCGAGTGTCCAGATCTCAAATCGAGGCAGATGAGGGAACAAGGGTAAGTGATGCCGAGAGTACAAACTCGAGACGACCTCTGCTAAACAGTAACGCATGAAGGCACGCCGCGAGCGTGGTCGACAATCTCAGGCTGCCTTCCGCAAGCGCCAGGCGCAATTCAACCGGGACCTAAAGACCAAAAACCGCCAGCTCACTCGGAGTATTGAAAAGGTTCTTGGCTGTATTCAAGGCGACGAGCGCTCAGAACTACTGGAAGCCGTTTCTGACATGGCTCGCACAGCCGGGATTAACACCTCGCCTGAAGTTGAGCCGGAACGAGAGGAGCGCAATCACTTTCTCAGTTGGTACATAAATGATCTGGCTGTTCTAGGCAACGAGGAATTGAATGATGAGTTCATACTTCCAGACAAGCCTCCAAAGCCCCATTACAATGGAATGCGTCTAGATCCATTCCACTACATGAGCATCTCACTACCACCCGAGGATATCGTGCCATATCTCAGTGGAGGCTTAAACACATTTGCTGGCAGACTGTTCTGGTTCATGTTAGAGCATAGTCAAGGTCGTTGTGAGAATGACCACGAAGAGCCAAGGCAATTCCATCAGAGGATTGTTGGTCACTCTCAAGCAATGGGAGGGGTGAGCTTATCATTTGCACAAAAGATGGTAGAGGCAAGGCTACAACACAGACGTACGGGATGTGTTGCCGCCGAAATTGCACCAGCAGCAGAGCTGGACTTGGCTATGGTTATTTGCACCAAGGTGCAGGAAGATTACGAAAGGAAAGGAGACAACATGGCACAGTGGATGTCCTGCCAGGCTGTTGAGGAGCACATTCGAGAGATCCTTGGCGAGGATGCGTTCACCAGGCTCCAGGTGGCCTTTTTAGAAAACGGGCATCCGTTTGTCAAAAGAGAGGTCGACAAACTGTATTGCAAGCTATATGATACATTTGTGTGTTTTGGAGATGGCCCAAGGTGGACTGTTGATACTATCAATGAGCTTGTCTTTGAGTGGATCATGTCGGCCTTTGAAGCAACAGAGAAGAGATACTTGGCTGGGGATTTTGACAGGGAATCTGGTTTATTTTCTTTCTAGTAAAGTGTCTTTCTAGTAAAGTGGAATTCTTCAGGGTTGAAGCCAATAGATTAGACAATCTGAGAGAAAAAGGCTTGGCAGGGACGAGTATGGAAGAACGACCCGAGTTACACTGAATGGAAATCATATGATCTTTTGTTGATTGGCATAGCATGACTAGGATACTCAGCCTTCGTAGGATGCCGGCCGCTGCCTTTTCGGGATAGGGCCAAGCCCGAATATATGCCCGAGAGTTAAAAGCAACAAGAAGCAATATATAACCCTGTATTACACGTTGGTTGGTTCCAATTTTATACAATGGCCTTTTCCAAGAATGGCTTTTCCCGGCACATCCCCACTACTTTAATGTAAAATTGTAGATCTTTTGATAATCAGATATACAATCAGGCCAGTAAAGAGGACTTTGGAGTACAGTGATCCATCAAGGGGTACGCAACGCATGCCATAGAGCGAATTAATGCCCGCTGCCCCACGTGTCTTCGATGTTGCACGAGTCACGACACTGACGAGTACAATGGAGAGGCTTACGTATCTAGATTCGCGACTAGCTTTCTGATCCACGGTCTGGTGCCGGGCTACCGACGGGTCAGGGGGGAATTATCTTGAGCGTCTTCTTGTCCGTGTTGTCATCAGGCCTGTGTGCTTAAAGGAAGGTGAATGAATTATGGATAGATATGCAAGCTACCTTTCTTGGCTGTTAGACGCATTACATTGCCTGAGGGAATGATCCACCATCAGGATGGCAACCAGGGGCGGGAATATATCCAAGTCAACTGACATGGGACACGTCTGGCGGAAGCAATCAAAATCCACCAGCGGAGGCCAATTCCCAATCTGAAAATCGGCCGCATGCAACAATCAGTTGGAGCCGACGCCCATGATTGATACCCTGTGTTTCCGTACTACCAAGATGCGTCATCCATGTTGGCTCGAAGGACAAGTCTCCAATTTTCCCAACCGTTCTCTTTCGAATTCAACAGTCTCATTTCACATTCTTTATTTGTGAGCCATTTCCTGTCTGTGTGGACGCGCGGCGTACAGTCAGGTTTCTCCCCCGGCATGCCGTCGTTGATGGGCAAGACCCCAAACATCTGGCCACAAATGGCCCAAGTAACCAACAAGCGCCGACATCGTTTATTCCTCGCTCCTCTGATATTGTTCATGTTTGTTTGGATTACACTGTGGTTTGGTTCTAGCACTCGGGTCCATTCTACCCCCCACATCCATGCCGAAAGCGAGTTCAAACCAGTCAACGTCCAGAATGCGGATCAGAAATCAGTCCAAGAGCTTTGCGCCAGCTTTCCAAAGCATATTCTAAGCTCCATACAACCTGTTCTACGCATCGGTCATACGGAAAACCAGCACAAGGTGGAGGCGCAGTTTGATAGCGTGAGCAGTTGCTTCACATCTGACGAGCTTGTCGTCTTCTCCGACCTGGAGGAAGATGTCCGTGGCCATCAGACCATCGATTCCTTGGAGAACATGCCCCTCGAGCTCCAAGGAAATGATCATTTCAGAGGGTACTTGTCACAAAAGCAGCGACACAACAGCAACGTCAGCGAAGGTTCATCAGAGCCAGTCCATGTCGACGGATGGGCAATCGACAGGTTCAAATTTCTGCCCATGGTAGAGAGAATATACCATGCACGGCCCGAGAAAGGATTTTACGTCTTTTACGAGACCGATTCGTAAGTTTCTGCCTCCCCGTATTTGCCCGCTGCCTATGAACACATGCCGACTAAATCTACGTGACAGGTATATATTCTGGGACAACATGTTTCGATATCTCAAAGGCTTCGATCCGGACGACGAGTTATACATGGGATCACCGACAGTTGGACGGAAGCGCACCTCTTTCGCGAACGGAGGGCCAGGCTTTGTGCTCAGCCGAGGAGCCATCAAAGCGCTGTTGCGCCGCGAGGAGGGAGAAGACGGCTACAACACGGCGTCTCTTGTCGACCGATGGCTAAAGCGGGTGGTTGACGACTGCTGCGGCGATGCGACTTTGGGATGGGCGCTGAACAGAATGGGGGTGGTTGTTATGGGTTTGTGGCCGATGTTTAATCCGCATTCGCTCCATGACATCCCGTTCAGCGAGAAACATTGGTGCCAGCCAGTTCTTGGCCTACACAGAACGACGCCGAGCGATATGCGGACATTGTGGAAGTGGGAGTTTGAGAACCGAAAGCAGGATTCACCGATTCTATACGCTGATATTTGGGACGTCCACCGCCCTGGGGAGCAGGAAGAGCTAAAAGACTGGGATAACGGCAATTGGAACGGATGGAATGCGCCTTGGTGGAGGAACATCAAGTCAGCCGAGGCCTGCAGGCAATACTGCCTCGGCGGAAAGGAGTGCGTTCAGTGGCATTGGATATCAACAACGAAGCAATGTATCGGGATGAGCTCCTTTCGGTACGGAGAGAAGAGTGAGCACCACCATTCGGGCTGGATAAGAGAACGAGTAGCCAAGTTTCGGAATGATCATCAGTGTAGGAATATCGAATGGGTGAAGCCCAGTCTCTGGAGGGTGTTCTCGGACGGAGGCAGAGCACCAATGTATTAGGATATTGGCATGTTTATGATTAGCGGCATGGAGTATGGAGTACTGGTTTGAATCCGCATGAAGTCTGACTGGGGTGTGAACCACTTGAGGCGACTCGTGAGAATGCAATTTACACATGGGCATTAAACCGCCGGATGCACAGCAATTTTAACCCCTCCACATTCGTGGTTTGGCTTACATTCCATGTTATTTATTAACGGGGCTCATGGAGAAGGCTCGATTCCACTACATATACCTTACCCTATACTCCTCCACGATTGGCAAATGCTGAAGTACCAAGTGAGAGGTTTTGACTTCTTCTATTTATGCCAGTCTCCAAAAACACAACTGTAAAAAAAGGGTAGCTGAATATTTACTCAATTAAATGTACTAAACATCTCAGTATTGCTCTCCATTCCGTCTTTGTATGGGTATGGCCCGAAACGAAATTGTAATTTCTCTAGCAGATAGGATGCATCTGTCGGAGTGAGAACCTCAACTATTAAATTACTCAAATGGGCAGCGGCAAATGAGAAAGTGTACTTCTTTGATCCAGGGAAGCTGGTAGTTATACGAGCTTTACCAGCTTTTCCTGATCGATGAAGACGGCGACATTGGTGAAGCCTGGGCTACATTCAAAGGTAATCTTTTGGCCCTTTTGCACAACCATCACCTCTCCCTTGTTCAACACAAACTTTTCACAGCCCTCCACTTCGATTTGAATCCAACCATTCGTCACAAAGAGGTATTCATCCACCAGCCAAACGAGTGTATCGCTCCCCACTTCCCGCAGCATTCCAAAAGCTACTTTCCCATCGGCTACTACGGCATCATGGGCATCATAGGTCAGATCCGCACCGCGACCTCTCTTATATTCATTCACGAGCGGATAAATGATGAAACTATCGATTTGTTCTTGAAACACATAACCAAGGTCTCTATTTTGGAAAATCGTTTGAAGAAAATACATAGCATAGGCCCCAAGTGTTCAAGGTACAATATAAGAGATACTAGAGTACGCGGAAACATCTCGGCAAGATGGTGCCGCGGTTCTGACTGGCGGTTAGCCAATATCTAACAAGCCTAATGGCAAGGGATACTTTATCGATCCTACGATGGTGGGTGACGTAAAGACCTTACTGAAGGTATAACAGGAGGAGATTTTCGGTCCGTTTGCAGTGGTTGTCATACTCACTGCGGAAGAAGAAGTTATAAAGGCGGCCAACGATACCGATTACGGGCTTGCAGCCACACTGTTTACGAAGATGTAGCCCGGGCGGTCCGGGTTTCCCAGAGGTTCCGAGCCGGAAATGTTTGGATACTCAAACAACAACGGTGACTTCCGAGTTCCTTTTGGCGGGATGAAACAGTCCGGGATTGGAAGAGAGCTAGGAGAGGCTGGTCTACAAGCATATTCGACGATCAAAGCTGTGCATTTAGATTTAGTAATGGCCAACCCTGGCATTTAGTTTCGGGACACTCTGAGACTACATTTGGCATTCAGATAGATTAAATCCAGTCACTTCCTAGATTGTTTTATTTTTCAAATTCATATTTTGTCGAGGTTGTATCTTCACTTCCTCAGTCCACGGTGATGGAACAACGATGGGCCTAAAGCCCGCCGTTACGATCAATTGTTTAGATATCGCCTTTGAACCAAGTCTCGCCTGGAAACAAACGCTCTGCATCGTCGGTCACGGTTTCTCATTTGACATGTCAACAGTATCCAATTTGTTGGATTTGCCACCCATACAATGAGGTATCCTCAACATAATTCAGTCTTCAAAGATGGACTCAGGAGGTCATATCGGCCCATTGCACTACTCCCATGATAAGAACAAAGATCAGTATTCTAACAGCGGTCATGCTGGGCGAGACTCAATTGGTTGGCTACACAAATAACGTCACCTGAAGTCAATTCAATGACGGGCCGGCAAAGTCGGCAAATGAGATATCGGCCCAATTCTATCACTTGACCTGGTCTTCAGTCGACCCATTCTTTTTCAGATTGTGGTGGAGGTTGAATTGACTCTCGCCCGACTTTCGAGATTTTCTTATTAAGAACATAAAGCTACCCCTTTTATCGCCTCTAAACTAAATTGCCGGAGATGTAAAAGCCTTTGCACGAAGATTCAAACCCTTTTCTCTCTCCGTGCTGTCTAAGAACGCAGAACGAGACGAAGGAGAACTTCTCCGGATGGTGACGTCGATGATGCTCGTGATGGTGTGTGGATCTTTGACTTCGTTCAACCCCGGATCAGCCGGAGTGCCTGATACTGGACAACGAGCGGGATACCCCACACAAGCAGTCTCTTATTGTCAAAGAAAACGGCTAGATCTGGGAACCTACTTACCTTACCCCCTAGCCAATTATGTGCTCGGGGAGGGAGGCGAACAAGACATTGGTGGAGCTTATCCCGATGTCTAATATAAGCTCTCTCAGAGCAGAGTCTGCCACGACGAAGCTGACCAGTTCAACGTACAGTAATAGATAGGCCCGAATTCCACATTAAATACTGGAGAACCTGGAGCAAACATGCGTGTTTTATTACCGGACCCAACGTGGGGAGACTGTAGAAGTTGGACGCCACTCCCTCCGAAGCCTTTCTTTGTACGTCGATAGTCGGGCCGTTGAAGGCATCGTGAATGACGACATAGTCTGGACTATTGATATGGTTCTTTTACCCCATGATCTAGCTGACCAAACGGGTGGAGCTGGCCGTTGCATAAATACCGGCCGCTCCGTTTGGTAAGATTTGGTCGAGGTGGAAACATCAACACCAACCCTATCAATATTCGCAACCATGAAATTCCCAGGGTTGACGGTTTACTTTGATCAACATGATCCCAATTCAGAGAAGCGGATGGACGGGCATCGCCCGTCGCTGGCAGGCCTGGACTACTCCCCGCTGCCTCGAATCTCGCGTCGATCTTTCCTCATGGGCGTTCTTGTGTCCATGGGCGGCTTGATGTAAGATATAGAGTACTGTCCCATATGACAGGCCAATTCCAGTTGCTGATTTTGAAAACCTAGCTTCGGTTATGATACTGGTCAAATTTCCGGCTTTCTGGAGATGGACGACTTCCTTCAGAGATTTGGAACAACTAATGCGCAAGGCGTCAAGGAGTTCAGCCGCGTAAGGTCTGGTTTGATTGTTGCTCTGCTTTCAATCGGCACGCTTATGGGAGCTCTGATTGCTGCGCCTATTGCAGATAGGATCGGGCGTCGCCCTTCCATCTCCTTTTGGTGTTTGATTGTGTCCATTGGCTTTGTGGTGCAAATCGCGGCCAACACTGCCTGGTACCAAATCATGATAGGCAGATACATTTCTGGGCTTGGAGTAGGTGCCTTGAGTCTTTTGGTGCCCATGTATCAAGCTGAGACAGCACCCCCGTGGATCCGAGGAGCTCTCGTCTGTACCTACCAGCTTTTCATCACGCTGGGCATCTTTTTAGCTGCCTGTTTCAACTATGGAACATACACCCATCATCCAAACAGCTCGGCGAGCTGGAGGATCGTCATCGGAATCGGATGGCTTTGGACTCTTATCCTTGGCATTGGAATTTTATTCTTCCCAGAAACACCTCGATACAACTACCGTCATGGTAAAACGGACAAGGCGCAAGCGACACTATGCAAGGTATATGGTGCGACACCCAATCACTGGGCTATCCACACCCAAATTGAGGAAATTGAGAGCAAGCTTCGAGAGGAAAGAGTGGTCAAAGGAAATGCTGTGACGAAGTTTGTGAGAATGTTCAGGGCCCCTCGAATGGCATATCGGATCGCTCTTGGAATGGGTCTGCAAATGTTCCAGCAACTGACGGGTCAGTATCGCAGTCTTCCATTATTTCATCTTACTGATGAGTATCCTCTAGGTGCCAACTACTTTTTCTACTACGGAACTACGATTTTCAAATCGGTGTCGATTAATTCCTTTATCACTCAAATCATCTTAAACACAATCAACTTCCTCGTCACATTCATAGGTCTATACTTGGTGGAACATTATGGCCGCAGAAAGTCATTGATCACCGGATCTCTTTGGATGTTTGTCTGCTTTTTGATCTTTGCGTCTGTCGGCCATTGGGCCTTGGACCGTGATGATTCGTCTCGAACGCCACATGCCGGAATTGCGATGATTGTCTTCGCATGCCTGTTCATTCTTGGTTTCGCGACAACCTGGGGCCCTATGATCTGGACAATCATGGCTGAAATCTATCCTTCCCGTTACCGAGCCAAGGCTATGGCACTTGCCACAGCATCAGTAAGTACCTAAACAAACACCTTGATCGAAGCATCCATCGCTCACACAATAGCGCAGAACTGGCTCTGGAATTTCCTCCTTGCCTTCTTCACCCCTTTCATCACAGGTGATATCGACTTTTTATATGGCTTTGTCTTTGCCGGATGCAATCTAATCGGTGCTGCAATTGTCTATTTCTTCGTCATCGAAGGAAAAGGTCTTAGCATCGAGGAAATCGACACCGCCTATCTCGAACACGTCAAGCCTTGGGAGAGTTCCAAATGGGTCCCGCCAACCCCTGCCGAGATGGCAAAGATTCGGCGACAGGCTGGAACTGACATTGGTGGCACTGAAGAGCCGGCCGAAAGCTATCCGGTTGCGAGTGATGGAACAACTGGGGCGGTGAGCATGAACAAGAAAGAGGAAGAGAACGGCCTTGACCATTCCCACCATGAGGTAGCGTAAGGGATGGATTAAATGACGAGGACCAATAGGGTCATATTTAAACCAGGAAAGAAGTATTATGCAAATGGTGTATGTATGTTTATATCGGTGGCTTAGGAGGCTGGTTTGGCGTGCTATCTAATACCTTATTGTATGCTTGACACCCAGGATTACATTTGGCTTGGGAACTCTTGTTAGGGCTATCACTAAATTGATGCAAAATTTGAAAATTTCCGAAAATTATCATCACTGCAAAATAATTGACGTGCTCATCTGGTTCAATTAAGACCTTAACATAGAGAGTTTGTTCGAGTAGCATCTTGAAAGATGGAAAATTAATATACATTTCTCTACGAAAATGAAGCCAGTTATTACCTGATTGTGCCTTCGACGTCACATATTGCCCAACATCACATCAAGCAATAACCCAGAGAGGCAGGAGATGGTTGCTTCAATCTGATAACCGCCGCCCCTCACGTGTAGCATCACATCACCAATATTCGTATCTCAAAGTGGGAACAATGGAACTTTTTCCTCGTGAAAACCTGTGAATGGACCGCATGTGAATGCTACTCAACACGACGTTGGCCCACAATGATTGGTCGCGCGGCAACTGAGGCACCCTGGGAGTTTCGGTCAGCGACAATCTCGTATGGGTAAACCTTTTAAGGAAGAATCTTTCCGGGAAGCTTCCATCTAAATATAGCAACTCGATTTTTCACAAGATCGCCTCTACTGTCGCGGAGAACAAAGAAGTAAGGCCGTCGGTGAACCGAATGTGCTGCTGACAAGTGCCTTGGTTCGTCACGGCGTAAAGGGGTACAGTGCCGGCATTGTCGGAGTGCGTCATTATTTGCCTCCGATGGGCAGCTATCCCGTTGACGGCAGTTGGAGGATTACAGGCATGGTACGGTGACAGTGCCTCCAGGTAGAAAGATGTTGAGTCAAGGTGCCTGACCGGGATGCCTCCTGAGCCACTGCACTTGATTCGCTCATAAGCTTAAAGCGTATATCCCCAGTCACTACTAACCTTAGTGCCGACTAAGATTTTGGCTCAGGTTTGAGCTTGGGACGGCGCCCTCAAGTCCCGAGATCTAAAATCCTTCCTGTGGCTCTCCCTGGCAGATTCACCATCCGCCCGGCAATCTCGCCATCTTGCCAAGGATGGCCAAAACTTGAAGCTGCCTGTCCTCCTTCCAATTTCATCGCATTGTCATGCTGACCATGCATACAGCCAATCATTCGCCCAACTTTAATCGGCCCCCGCCCCTGCCAAATCTGTAGCGATCTGCGGATGGATGAAAGAACCCGGAGCAAGAGGCGGGGAGGCGATTGTCTACCTTAGTGTCGGCGATTAATCCAAATACCCAGGTATGAGGATGATGCCTGCTCAAGTTGCCACACGGCGGTCAAGACTTCTTACTCTTATCGGGCTTCATGCCAGCGTTGCCCTGTCGAAACCGTTGTGAACACAAGCACGGGGTTGCTCCGGTGCCATGGAGCCCCAGTGGAAGCTACCATGTCTCAGGAGTGATCAGCATAGCCGGTAATTGCTGGTTAGTGCGCCCAGAAAGATTGACTTAGACACCTACCTGATTCGTTCATGATGCCATGGTCCTTCTGCACACTGTCACGCAGGGAGCTTTTGAACTGCCTGGCCCAGGCAGCACCGAATATTCCCATCCTCCACGAAAATTGCATCCATGCCCTTGTGCGATGGTGGAATTCCGACTGTGACCCTGATGGCTGCGGCTGCTCGACGTGATTGGGGATGGTGCCATGTCAGGTGCCCATATCGCAAAATGTCACCCTGCCAACATTCCAAAGGGTTATACATTCCGAGGAACTTTGTAGTTATCCTCCATACATAGCCCGGCATCAGGGTTATAAAGACTCAGCCTTCCCTCCCTTCGGCAGTCCCATCAGGAGCCTAAGCACCACAAATCGACTCCCGACTCCATCCTCACCTGTTCAAGATGAAGTCCTCTCCCTCGATGTGGAGCGCAGTCGCCAGCCTTGTCGCTGGTGCACTTGCCAACAAGGAGATCCCTGTTGATGCTGAAAGGGCGGCAGAGCTGTACGACAATGGTGCTAGACATGAGCACATTATGCAGCTCAAGGCTGTAAGTACTCACGCACATGAGAGACCATGACTTCTTGACGTTTCCTACTGCCTGGAAATGAGTGCTAACTGTAGCGATATAGAAAGTCTGGGCCGACCTTGATGCGCAAGGTGTATTTGATTCTACTCAGTACACCTCCTTCAACAAGGATACGGACTACGTAGCATGTGACAATGGCTACGCATCCTATGTCCCTGGAGATGCCAAGTACACCTTCAAGTGCCAAGACCTTGATCTCTACGACTTCAAGACGCACGCAGAACTTGGAAGCGCTTACGGTCGTGGTGCCGGATCCTGGGGCTGGACCAGCCCTGAGGGTCGGGAGTTTGTCGGCATTGCCCAGGAAGACGGCACATCATTCTCCGAGGTGTCCAAGGAGGGTAAGCTCATCTACCTTGGTCGTCTGCCTCAGTACACAACCGCACAGCCATCCCTGTGGCGCGAGATCAAGGGCTACAAGAGCTACCTTGTCATCGGAAGTGAGGCCGTCGACCACGGTGTCCAGATCTTCGACCTGAGGAAGCTTCTGGACGTCGATCCCGCGAGCCCCAAGATCTTCAGCAACGAGGACGACCTTGACGGCTGGTGGAACGAGGAGCTCCCATTGGGCAGATCCCACAATGTCATCACCAATGAGGAGCGCAACTACGGTGGTGCCACCGGATTCCAGCCTCGCGATGGCCCTCTCGCCGCTGGTCTCGTCTTCTTCGATCTGACTGATCCCGCCAACCCAGTTACCCTGGGAGGCAGTGGAGAAGATGGATACGTCCACGATGCTCAGTGTCTTGTCTACCGCGGACCCGACGAGAAGTACGTTGAGCGTGATATCTGCTACGGCTACAACGAGGATTCTTTGACCATGTAAGTTCTCGCTCTTTCTGACAACATTCAACAGTACACTAACAACCTATCAAGCTACGATGTCGAAGACAAGTCCAACATTACCATTATCTCCAGGATTTCCTACGAAACAGCCCAGTACACTCACCAGGGCTGGGTTCTCGACCCTCAGTGGCAAAACTACATCATCCTCGACGATGAGTATGATGAGGTCGAAGTGCGAGACAACGGCGGCATTGCTTACCCAGTCTCATACATTTGGGACATCAGCTCGCTGGAGAACCCCAAGCTTACTGGCCAGTACACCGGCCCTAGGTCTGGTATCGACCACAACCAGTTCATCATTGATGGCTTTGCCCACCAGAGCAACTACGCTCTGGGTTACCACGTCCTGGATGTCCGTTCCATCCCTGATGACCCCACTGGCAAGAGCATCAAGCAGGTTGCCTACTTTGATATCCACCCTGAGGACGACAACCTCCCTGGAGGAGGAAATGTCACCTTCACCGGAACATGGAGCCACTACCCTTACTTCAAGAGCGGCTATGTTGTCATTAACACCATGGACAGGGGTGCTTTTGTCGTGAAGAAGAGCAAGGACGCCCAGTGGTAATCCAAGGACCATGTACATAGTGGCGGCCTTTATTGTATCCGCTTACTATCCAGTTAGCCAAAGGTAGAGGAATAGCCTCCGATGTTTAACGAATAAGAAACGTCTAAGATGGAATTGTATCCTAGTTTACACATGCAATGATGTAGATCACAAACAACCGTAGAGAGTAATGATGACCCTCCAAAGCCTCATCGGCCCCTTCGAAGAAGGGCCAAGCCGGGAGCACTTGCGCACATCCATTGAAGCGAGTTTTTCATGTTATTGCTCCAAGGAAAATCCTCAAAAGAGCCTATCACAAGATTCCACCGCGTCACTGGCCTTGGACCAAAACTTCAATTCAGGAGAACTTTGACCATCCCATCCATCCTTGGCATCCGACAAAAAGTGAGTTTTAAACCAGAGTGAGCTTTATAGAGACTTGGCTAGCCTTAAATTCTGATTGAATATATCATCAACACTATTCAGTGACGGGCAGAGTCTATTGAGACAAATAGAACGGTAGACTACTTGATAGGCTCAGAAGTAGCGTATATCTATCACATTCGATATCACCTATATGAAGCGACTTCAAATATTTCCAACGGCCTTTCGAGGTGTCAGAAAGTTACCGGCCTCCATATCCGAAGTAATATTCTACATTATCCAATTAGCGGGGATAAGGGATTCCTCTACAACGTTACACTTACTGATTGACAACGCACCACGGCTGATAGGTATTTAGGCAAAACATGCCCCTTGGAAGATAATTGCGACTCATGATTCCGGTACGTGGTGGTTTTTGTGTACTACCTAAATTGAAGCTATTTAGTCCTGGTAATTGGGAAGACTTGGGCGAGCCATGGGTCAATATACTCCCATTCCGTAGTACATTTGCATCACCATCTTCCAATGAGACTCCAGTACCACGTAAGTCTGCTGATATTTCACTATGGATATCACGTGTTCTTACGATAATAATACACGATCAATAGGAAGCACAATCGTTTAGCAATATGTACTCAATTGCATCGCACGAGATCCATGGATGAATCAGTATCACCATGGTATTCTTCCATACAGCGCTGCCTCTTCTTCAGAACGAACCATTAGATTTCACGAATATCCAAGTCTAGTGTGGTGACCCAGGTAGTTTCGGCAATGTGTTGCCGATCCAACGCCGCTATCATTTGATCAACGAACATCCAGCGAGGTGACTGGTGCACTAACTCTTACTTGCCGGGTGAAAGAGCAACCCCGCAAAGCACATTTGGCAGGTTGTACCTCGAGTGGAGCTTCTGCATGGATTAGAACGAGTCTTCCCGGTCGGAAAGCTAATGGCTCGGAAGCAGAACCAATGTTGTCGTAGGACGACATAAACATTTGAGGGGTCAATAGCTGGACTTGTGATCACGCGCCACCACTGGAGTTCTAGGCCATGGTGCTACGTATTCCAAGGGACCTTTTGGCGTTACATCCGGGCAGAGTTCCGTACATGTTTAGTCAAGGGTCTCTTCGCGTCGGTATATGATTGGGGAAACACATAGCCCTTGTCTTGAACCAGATAAGACATATATGAGGGGAAGATAGCCTCCCTCACTGATCACCAAGTATTTAAGAGATCTACGGATCGCTCGCCTCCAGTCTCCAACTAACTAACAGGCGACCATAGAGGCAAACAACTCCAACAATCGTAGCATGGCTCCTCCATCGCCCACCATGGAGACGGTCGAAGAAGACACTCGTCCAGCCCTTGACGAAGAAAAAGTACCTTCGGGGGCCAATGTTGAGAACTTCAGTGACCAGATTCCCCATGAGCTGCTTAAGGAGCTCGCTCCCAACGGAGAAGAGGAGTATATTCTCGACAAGATCAACAATATGACCGAAGATGAAGCCCTCGCCATCATCGAAGAGTCTGTCACATTTTTTGCAGATGACTGGAACTTCCCCTCGGATATGCGTGACCGTATGAACCGGCTCCTCCAGGGCCCCAAGTTATACGGAGAGTACTACGGGAGAGACCTGCGGATTGATGCCGTCATGATTCGGTATTCGTCACCGTACCCAGGCGTTCGCTCCGTGGTCGAGCTGCAGGATGAAGATGTGCCAATCGAGACCTTTCGTGAGTTAAGACCTGCAAGCGTATCATCGATGATTTCATACTAATTGAGAGCTCTTGCTTGAAAAGGGGCGTACTTTTTAGGTGTGTCTTGTTAACTTACTGGTGTTTGGGAATTTCCCTTGTTTTTCAGCAGCTGTATAGCTCCCTCACTTACTTACTAACCTTAGGTGTGTCTTGGGCTGTGATTGGCACATTCATGGTACGTGCTCTCGTTGTGCTTCGTCCCCTTTTCCCCTTTCCAGTCCCTGCCACTCTTTTGCATACGCTGTTGGTCGTTCAGGTTGTTTTACCTCTAACTTCCAAGGACAGGCAACTTTTTTCTCAAGTCGTTTCCCATCAATCAGTAAGTTGTAGTCTGGCATTGCGGCGCGACGGCGGCCATCTAACTCGGGGTAACTAGCTTTGAATGCGCAGGTGATTCAGATTCTACTTTATCCTTGCGCCAAGTTTCTTGAGTATGTTCTACCAGACTGGGGGTTCACCTTCAGGGGAGTTCGCCATTCTCTTAATCCCGGACCTTGGCATTTCAAGGAACAAATGTTTGCAACAATCACCTATAACATCGCCATCTATACGACCAACGCCTACAGTATGATCTTGGTCCAGAAGTCTCCCATGTTCTACGGCCAGAAATTCATAGGCTTCGGGTACCAGATCATGCTGACCCTTTTCGTTCAGCTGATGGGTATGGGATTTGCCGGGTATCTCCGGCGATTCAGTGTCTACCCCGTCAAGGCCCTCTGGCCAACCCTGCTTCCCATAATAGCTATGAACAGGGCTCTTACTCGGCCGGAGCCAAAGGAGAATATCAACGGCTGGACAATATCCCGATACAAGTTCTTTTATATTGCCTTGGGATCTATGTTTGTATATAATTGGTTCCCAGGATACATCTTCACAGCGCTCTCGACATTCAACTGGATGACTTGGATCGCACCCCAGAACTTTACGTTGGCCATCCTGACGGGATCTTCTTTAGGGCTGGGCCTTTTCAATCCCATTACGACTTTCGACTGGAACGTTGCCACTCAATCTTATCAGCCGCTCTCACAACCCTTTTTCGCCATTGGCACTCAGTATGTCGGCTCTCTTCTCGGAGGTGCTGTCATCCTGGGGATGTTCTACACCAACATGTTCAACACGGCATATCTTCCCATCAACTCATCCAGCCCCTTTGCCAATGACGGAAAGGTATATGAGGTGCAAAAAATCGTGGTCAACAACAAGCTTGACAGGGAGCTATATCAGCAGTACTCCCCCCCGTTTTACTCTGCTGGCCAGGTCCTTACCATTGCCGGAAACTACTGCTTCTACCCCGTTTACTTCATATACATCATGTTCAACCAGTGGAAGACTATAGGAGCCGCCTACGTAGACTTCTACAAAGGCCTCCGCCACGGCAAGGGTAATTACGAGGGCGCCATGGACGTCCACAGCCGACTTATGAGCCGACATCCAGAGGTTCCGGACTACTGGTTTCTTCTCATACTCATATTCGCTGTCGTTGTCTCTGTCATCTTTCTCAAAATATTCCCGCTCGATACTCCGGTCTGGCTCGTCTTTCTCGTTATCGGCATCAACCTTGTCTTCGCCGTGCCGCTGTCTTTCCTCTCCGCCACAACCGGCACAAATCTCGGCCTCGGGTCGCTCATCCAGGTCATCACGGGTTTCTTGCTCCCCGGCAACCCAAATGCCTTCCTGTTCTCTCAAACTCTCGGCAGTTGGGCGTTGGCAGGATATTCGGATAACTATGTCCAAGATCAGAAGGTGAGTCCTCTGTCTCATTCCAAATTAGACGCGACGGCGCTAATAAACAAAAGCTTGCTCACTACTGTCTGATCAAGCCTCGCGCGGTCTTCCGAAGCCAGATTGGGACCATCATCATCACCTGCTTCGTGGCCGTTGCAACACAGAATTTCATCTTAGAAAACGTCAAGGGCCTCTGCACACCCGACCAGCCAAGCAAATTCACCTGCGCAATGGACGGAGCGCCTCTCTACAGCAGTTCGCTCATGTGGGGGCTTTTGGGTTCCAATATCATGTTCAACGAAATGTACCCGATTCTCAAATGGTGTTTCCTCATCGGCACGCTTATCTCCATTGTCTTTCTTGTTGGGCAAGGCTACGGTCCCATATACCTCCCTCGCGTCCGGGAGTGGCTCCGAGGCCGTCTTCGACCGCGAACATTTAGGTTTTTGGAACGAACACTCTTCCCAGTCGTTGCATCGCTGTTTTGGCTGAACCCGGTTCTGATCATCCAAGGTATCCAGCACTGGGCCCCGTCCAACATGGCGTACAAGACTCCAGGGTTGATATTGGGTTACATTTTCATGTACTGGCTACCAAAGCATAGGATGGCCCTTTGGGAGAAGTACAACTATGTTTTGTCAGCAGCTTTGACTGCTGGCGTCGCTGTGAGCGCACTCGTGATGTTTTTTGCAATTGGGTACAATCCTGTCACATTTTCCTGGTGGGGAAACACTGTTAGCAGGGCGGGTGTTGACGGGACCAATGTTGGTCGGTTACCCATTCCTGAGAGGGGATATTTTGGCCCAGAGAAAGGCTCGTTCCCTTATTAAGGGGTTCGCTTTTGGTTCAGGACTGAATAAGTTCTCTTATTATTATAACAGCAGGTACTGAACCAAATTAAGGGTTTCTACCAGTCATCTCGCCTTCGAATTTGGCCCAGTTTTATGATGTTTGCTATGCGCACCTAACTATGTAAGACTCTGTGAAATCCATGTTGGAACCCTTCAAATGTTAGGTTGCTAGCGAACTGATCATCGGCAATGGTGAATATTGTGGACAACAGATCACTGACTGCAGCTTTGAGCATTATTTGTAAATAGCCTGGATCTCTAACTATTCCTATTATTTTTAAAATAAAAAGGAAAATTTGCGCGAGTAGCCTCAAATCATATGGATATTGAAGATCTCTACTATTTAATTCTAGAACTGTCGGAGAGGTACCCATTATTCCTGCTTGTTGATTATACCAGGATCGCGTTACCGGAGCTAGGTAGGGTTCGCAGATTCGCGATTCGACGAATCCTTCAGCCGCTTATACATAGTGAGCGGGTCTGGTTCCAGCTAGTGGGGTTAATTTCCAATTTAGATGCGATGCCTGTTCTATGTGTCGCGTGCTTGTAGGGGCAGCCATGTTTGTTCGCTTGTCGTCCTATCGGGACGTTCTTTAGCTGGACTGGTAACTGGTCTACTCTCATGGGCTCAACATTAAACTGGATCAATTGCATGACTTGAGCCATTAGTTCCCAGATACTATTTATAGGTCCATTATGCTGCTGGAGCCTGGGACGGCAAACGGCCTACATGCATGCCCGCGATACCTGTAGCGATGCTGGTCCCCCTGAAACCCACGGCCACTGGACGCTTCGCGGCGAATCCGACAGGAAATTGTCTCTGTTCCTCTAGGTAAGTCTGCCGCCAATCCTGGAACGGGAATGCATGGATCAAAGGATCGATGGCGAGATACAGGATTCAGGTATAGCTATTCTTACTTTACCCCGGTCGGCCATGCTCTCGGGAGTATGGGAAAGGTAACCTCGGGAATGGTCCAGGAACTATATAAGATGAGCTTCTTATCCAGTTGATGGAAAGAACCTCTTCATTCCAAGCAACATCCTTTTCCTTACTTTTTTCCTATATCTTATTATTTCCTTTATCAAGTTTTCTATTAGCTGGTTAACAGCAGTCTTTCATTCACTATGGTTACTATCAAGCAACTTTCTATTATTTCAACCCTCCTATTTGGCCTTGGCCAACAGGTGGTCGCCGACAATTTCGACGATAATGGGCTTATCGCCCGTAGTGAGGGCGATATCTCTTATGGCGGCCATGGCTTCGAGGCACGTGATGTGGCTGAAGACGAGCTCGAAGTCCGTTACGACGAGGATCTCGAGACGCGAGGTATCAACGGAGGCCTTGGTAAGAGAGGGCTACCCCTTTGGAAGCCCGCGAAGCCGGATATCATCGTGACACCTCCAAGCCCGCCACCAAGCACCAGCAGCAACCGCCGCCACCGACGAAGCCTCAACCAGAGGGGGCTACCCCTCTGGAAGCCCGCGAAGCCGGATATTATTGTTACGCCTCCAAGCCCGCCACCCAGCACCAGCAGCAACCGCCGCCACCGTCGAAGCCTCAACCAGAGGGGCCTACCCCTCTGGAAGCCCGCGAAGCCGGATATCATCGTGACACCTCCAAGCCCGCCACCAAGCACCAGCAGCAACCGCCGCCACCGACGAGGTCTCAACCAGAGAGGGCTACCCCTCTGGAAGCCCGCGAAGCCAGATATCATCGTGACACCTCCAAGCCCGCCACCAAGCACCAGCAGCAACCGCCGCCACCGACGAAGCCTGTGAATTGCCGCGGCAGGGATCTGGAGTGACATTGGGAGAGCAGGAGTACGGGAAGGGATGTCAATTCTTTGATCATACCTGCTTGTATGATATGATCTAGGAACTCGGCTTATTTATTTGGAACTACTCTGGGGAATATCTCTAGCCAGCGAGCTCCTGCCTTCTTAATCATATGAGTATATGCTGCAATAGGCCTTGGAATATTGCTGGAAGCGGTAAGACCGAACTTAAATATAAGAATACAGAGTAGTATTAGGATAGGGATATATATTATTTAGATTCTAAATATTTACACTGTCACTTCTCTTGTTTGGTAGTTCGTGTTTATGTATGTCTAACATGCCAATATAGTAGCATACAGTTTAATACTACTGCTAGTGAATCAAGATATAAACCCTAATATCGGTATGGAACAGGTATAGAGCTGTGGTTGTATTGTCCGGATAGACGAAGACAACGTAACGTACAAGCAATCATTATGGGTAGATGATCGCCCAGCTACCGCTATAAAACAAAGTTCACGAGATGCTTGTCCAAGGAGATAATTCCTGATGAATGTAGATTGCAGTGGTAACTAGAAGTACGGTGGTAGAGTATGAAGCTCGGATCATGGCGATTTTGTGTCTCCAAGCGAGGCAAATTACATCAGAATGAGGCGGCAGTTTGGTCTCAACTCCCATGATCCTTGCCGCCCCCCTCTGCCGGCACTTTTCATGCCGGCAACGGCAAGGGTCGCAAATCTACCGTCCAAAAGTGGAAGTGATTAGCTTTTGTGCTCGGCTCACCAGCCAGTGGGATTTGGTGACGATGAAGGCTACGGCAATGAGTCCCAGAGAAAGGCTCGTTCCCTCCATGTCATTCAGGGATTCGCTTTTGGTTCGGGACTGCATGAGTTCTCTCATTATCTCTTATTATCTCTTATCATTCTAACAGCAGCTGCTCAACCAAAATGAGGGTTTCTACCAGTCATCTTGCCTTCGAATACCAGCCCTTCTATTGCCAAATACTCTATGTGGGACTGACCACGGCTTTCCAATTGTTTGTTGTTGTTGACCTTATTCACGCCACTGAACTCAATTCGCGTAACTATCAGCCACCTAAGCCCATCTAGTGTGTAACTTGAATAAATGTAAAATTTTTATTTGCATGGGGTCCGTTCGCCTTGAATCCACAACGTTGATGAACTCTTAGTTCATCCAGCGTATCGCCATTAAGTGTGCAAATACGATCAGATAAACGAATACGAGATATCTCGTATTCTACAAGTTGCTGACAAAGCCAAGGGAGCACACGTGACCCTCTGATGTTTGCTTACTCATTACCCGTCCCTGGTTCTTTGCCTTAGTAAGCTCTTCACGTGACAAGGTGTTTTGTTAAGGTAAGAGAACTGTGCTTTACCACCAAGCACCTCATCGTGACCATGAAAGTATCTCTAAACCCTTTCACGCCAATTTTTTTTCAGTCTTTCCAAATTAATAAATTTCTTTTCAGGAGGCTTAATGCTTTTCTGTTTTGTTTTTATTCTGTTTTTAACGTGATTTGTGGCGGTAGAAGTGATACGTAGGTTGGACCAAGAGAGTATAGGGTAGGTTGGATATTGGGCGCGTGTCCCAGCAGTCCAAAGTAAACATAGCTCTCGCGAAGGGTATTCTTGACTAGCAAGACCTCTTTACTCTATATGCGAAGGTCACTTGAACACTCCATCTTGAGTGAATAACAGCATCAACTTCAATGTGTTCGGGGATCCGGTAAGTTGGTGGGACAAATTCGGCTCCGACCTGCCGTGTCTACGAAATGTCAGCCGTACATCGGCTGGGTTACGCCGCGAAACCGCCAACTTCTCCCTGCCACCTACGACCTCGCAAAGCCCGCGCGACTCGAAAGTCGACACCCCCGTATCCCGTTCCCGTTCCCGTCAACCGGATGCCGTCCACTCGCCGGTCGTCGGCATTGACACTGCGACAGGAGTCCCTGCTGGGCTTTCCGTCTGACACTGCTCGCAATGCCCCGCAATGACCTCCACCACCAGCTCTCCGACCTCGTCCACGACTCCAAGATCGAGACTGTCGTAAACGGAACCTGCACCGAACATATATACCACGAGCCGGGGCGATCCCTCCACGAGAGAAATAAGCGAAGAGTAGAGCGATGGGAACGTGAGGGGACGCTGGGCAAGGGTTCATTTGGTGTGGTCTACCAAGAACGATGTCGGGGCAGCGACAAGGTCCGCGCGGTCAAGGAGATTAGCAAGAGTGTGGCCGCTGGAGAGCAGCTGGATTATTATAGAGAGCTTGAGGCTATCGCAAAGTTCTCCCACCATAAAGTGCGCGCACTCCACAAGATGACGGCATGGTTGGTTCTTGCGGATCGCTGATTCGAGGCAGTACTCTCATTGTTTCGTTCGCTCAGATGGCTGGTTCGAGTCTAAAGACTCGATATTTATTGTCATGGAGTACATGGAGCACGGCGATTTGCAGAACTACCTTGGTCGACCTTTTCCAGAAGCTGAGGTTCAGCAAATCGTCGGCCAGTTGCTAGAGGGCCTGGATTTCATGCACGCCAGTGGCTTTATTCATCGTGACTTGAAGCCTAGAAATATCATGGTTGTCGATAAAGGCCCCGACTGGTTCGTCAAGATCACGGACTTTGGCATCAGTAAAAGACGCCAGCTGGGCGTCACAACCTTGCACACCATGCAACGAGGTACTCTGGGTTTTGCGGCTCCAGAGGTGCTAGGATTGGACCTGGGAAAGCCGGGTGGCTCATACTCGTTTGCCGTGGACATGTGGTCTCTGGGGGTGCTTACTTTCTACCTATTCACAAATTCAATGGTCTTCTCCAACCACGGCGAGACTTTCATGTACGCCACAGGAACAAGCAGTTTACCTATTGAGAAAATGACTTCACAGAAAGTATCCGATAACGCCCGACAATTTGTCATATCTCTTCTGGCACCGGTACCAAATGATAGACCGACGGCCTCAGCAGCGGTTGGGCATGCATGGTTGGCTACCCCTGTAATGCCAGATCCAACAACGTGAGTCTCAAAGTTCCCATGCCTGAAATCTAGATCCAAAGTCCCATGACTAACGAGGAGAGAATAGTTTGGGCGACCTCGAGTGGAGGGATGCCAGCATAACCACAGCACCTTCTGCTACATGGAGCTCTGGAATTGACGATGTGCCCCATGTTACTCGTTTCGCGAGCAGATCCCCTTCTCCTCAACGACGATTAGCGACGCCTCCTGAGCGCTTGCAGAATATGGATCCTGTTAGCCAAAAGTTGGTATGGTTGGATCGGCCGAACAGCTTGGAGCGATACCCTGAAGTCATCACCGCGAGGACAAGGGGTGTGGAGTGCATAAATGATAGATGTGGCCAGTGGTTCAGGTCTCTGTTATGCACCTTAAATGAGGTTACGGATAGGTGGGAGATCATGTGCCCTATGTGCTCAACTAAACGTCCTCTTCTAGACGAGAGGAGAGATTTTCGTCGATCGTCTCCTCAGCCTCGCGCGCGCACAATGAGGGCGTCTCCGAAGGACCAAGACCCTGCAACACAATCTATTTCCGGCCTTAGCTACGCAATGGAATATATTCACTCAAGCCGCCAACTTAAACCAACGACATTTACAGCCAATACTGGTATACTTGCGCGATCGCGTGGGTCGACTACGCCGGAACCGGTTGTAGAAGGGCCCATGCTACTTATTCTCAGCAATGTTTTTGATCATACTGGCCTGGGGAAACAAATTTATGACTGGACTTGTTTGAGATATTCAGGCAAACATCCAATCACAGAACTGGCCGGTGAGCTTTGGCTGCTCCTAATCACGCTGTCTGATAATAGCGGGAGAGCGAAGGCAGTCCTTCCCCAGATCAGGGCCAAGGAGAATAAAGACCTCGTTCAGGAATTTCTTGACAGCAAGGAAGACAGGATTGATAGCATGCTACAACATTGGTTGGACAACTGTCTGCATCAATTCCCCATGTCCGAGGGGAAAGAGATCTGGCACGGAACGGATTTCGGCTTTCGTTTCGTAGAGACGCTTTTCGATCGCGATCGACAACTGGACATGACTGAGAAGGTGATGCAAAAGATTAGAAAATGGAACCTGCGTTTTGACACGTGGGTAGTTGAGATCCTTGATCACCCTGATCGTTGAATAATGAAATGCTACATCTAAGCTGGATTGCTATGGGTAGATCTTGGGGAATTAAGAAAAGTAAGAATTATATATTAATTTGGGCGACTTTTAAAATTTTGCCTTTCCATTGTTAATAATATGCACAAATTCATTGCAGCCCTATCTATTGGAAGGGTCCATTAGATTGTTCCTTAAGGGCATTGTATGATACCAGGCTCAAGCGGAGGTGTGGTGTGGCCGGCTTGTCACAAGGGGCAATTTCAATAGTAAATGTTCATTCATCAATGGACGACAGTGAGGAGGACCTGGGCACCAAATATGTATTCATGGAAGTGTAGAATTTCATGGAGATTTTGCTCGTCTTGATGTCTTTTTGTTTGACTTGTTCTTGTAGCTCTGCGCACAGCCCTTATTCACAAGCAAGCAAGCAACTAATGCGCCCTTGAATCACCTCGTTCGAGCAGCTGAAAGGAGCTCCTCGAAAGCTCGAGAGTCGCCTTCGTAATAGTCTTTGGCGGGGTTAATATATTGATTATACCCAAAGTTGATGCTTCCCTCGCTCATCTTAGGCTTAATCCACAGTGCCATTACGCTATCATCGAATGCCACATAGCGGTAATTTGACAATCGAGTCTCTTTACTCTCTAGGGACCGAAAGCTCAGAGAGGAGTAAGTGTTATCGGCTTTGTTATGGAACCCAAAGTGTCGGAGCTTGACCAAGGATTTGCGTAGATTTTCAAACACGGTTTCCCAGGTCCCAGAAAAGGTATACGCTACACTTCTGTCTTCCGGAAATCCATAAGTGGTAGGATCGATTTCAACCCAACCATGCTTTCTCACATTCCATTCTTCTGATCGGCCGCGTTCAGAGAAGTAAAGATGCGTCACTATATAGCATCTGTCAAGGCGGAGAGTTTCGAGGGTTGTCTGAGTAAGTACCCAGTCAAAATGGCCATGGTGTGCGATAACAAAATTTCCCAGATTCAAAGTCTTGAGTGTCTTGAATTGGAGCCCATCTCCATCGAAATACCCTGGTAAGACGCCCCAGCAATCGTTGAAATAAAGAGTCAACGTTGTGAGGTGGTCAGAAAGCGGAGTCAACCAGTGATTTAAGAGATATGGCTCAAACGTCTGTCGCTCAATGCAGAACACATCATTATCAGGCCCCTCCTCTCTACATTCTTCACAAATTTGCAGTTCAACAGTAGTGAGGGTCTTGGTGACAGTTTTGAATAGCTCAGACGTGGTGAATTCCGGGAGGGGCAGGTTTTGAAGATTCTCGATTCGGAGGGAGGCCATCTTGTTCGCCGCGGATCGCTGGGCATTATATTCTCGGATGGCCTCAAAGACAGCAATGAGGGCATTCTTTCTGTGGCCTATCTCCTCGACATCTTCAAACATCCACCTTTCGGTTTGTTCTGAGCCCACGCATTTGCCTGAAAAGCGTAGCTCAACGGATTGGACAGTTTTTATCTCATTGAGGCGCGAGATGGCCGCGGTAAGGGAGGGATGTTCAGATTCGCTCCAGTCCGTCATCGTTCCGTCGAGACGGTCCTCGTCCGGGGCGCTGTTGAAAATTACACGCCGCGCTGCATTTTTGACAGAATTACTGTCCAGCATGTTGTTCCAAGTTTGGAAGTTCTCCTCCGCAACGTGTACCAGGTAGATGGTTCGGAATAGATGAGCCGTGGCTAGGGAATTCCACTGACGGCACACCAAGCGCGCGTTGGATAGTGATCGGATATCCGACTTCGTCTTCTCGTCGAGATCCCAATCTACCTCCGGGTGGATGAAACCAATCACCCGGTCTAGAACCTCGACGGGTAGACTTTGCAGAACAGCCATAGCGGAGGGTGGGGTTGTGTTCAACTGCTGCGGGTGCCAACTTGGGGAAAATGGAGGCATTTTATGACTGTGAGTTTGTGAGGGGCTCTAGTGGGTCGTTGCTTGTTCCCTACCGTGAGTATATTCACGTCGAGTCTGAATCCTACATAAACAGGGATGACGGCTCACCTTTTTCGATTTTCATCTTGAACTCAGCGTGAGTTTTTTCAATTATGTTACCTGTAGAATAGGCATGTCATGTGACAAGCAACAAGAAATCTTGTTTCTATTCTCACGCAGGATTCATTATGTATACTGGCCTTCGGGGCATGTTCTGTGTTTACTGGCTAAGCTCTTCAATCCTACAGATCTATTTTACGACTGCGCTGTCTTCTTTGCGGAGTCTCCTTTTCTTGGTTTCATCTGGTTTAGGGGTTCTGTGATGGTTAGAGACCATCTGTTGCTAGACCATTTCACTTACTTCATCCTTACCGCTCATCCAATTACCTAGAACTCGCTTTTTGTGTTCGCCGCTATGGCTTCCCGGTGATGGCTGCGAACTGCTGTCACTCAATTTCCCAGAATGACAATTTCTTACACTACCTCCGGTGTTACCTAGGTTGCTATGGGGAGGTAAGTAGCTAGTTAATTCCCTCTCTCTAATACTATGTAAAGTGTGCTTTGTACCCTGTAGATGGAGTACGAGAACATAGCGGTGTGCCTGTTGCTTCGGAGCCGACATCTTTTGGCCCAATCCTCCACCAGGTCTGACTGGTTTTCACAGCCTGGATCAGTGCACTAGTGCACCGCTTCTGGCTGCTAGTTGTTGTATTCTGGCTTGTGACATGGGTTGAAGAGGATTCTACAACGGTTGGAATTGGCAGATTAACAAGCCTATAAACAACTTTTCTATTTTGATTGTTCTCATCTGCCTAACGCGCCAAGTCGAACCTATAGGTGGCGGCGGCGTAGGATGCACCAAGCATAAGCACCACACCCCCGGGCCTTTGGTGAATATACTCCCAATTTCTCTCATTGTTTTCTCATCGTTAAATTGTCCAATATTTGGCACATGTTGCTGTCTAAATTCACTTTTAGGGCATTGCCTTCTGGGTATCTTCACAGCTGGTTATCAGAATATACAGCATCCGTGTGAGACTCGGATGAAACACGCAGCTCTCTGTGACTATTATGATCTCCGACTTATTTCACTGACAGCATCGGTCCCGCCGGAGAGAACGATAACCCGTAGTAGTAATTACAGGGTTTCCACAGCTTGGGTTGGTGGGTAAACGAACAACCCTCGCCCAATGTGGGCTGGTCTCGCCTGAGACAAGATGAACTAAATCTTACCGGCGAGGCGCTATGATCACTACGGCGAACTCATTATTCGCCTGCACTGGATACTAGATTGGGAAAGCACTGCTTGAGCGCGGGGGCCATCTTGTAATTACATACTCGTGCTGCCGTTTGTGACGATGGCTTATCTTTTGTGGAAGGTTAGGCCCCAAATAGTTAAGACACATCTCAGCTGATCTGCTCTCCACCCCAATTGTGATTTCTATGTTTTCCCTTCAATCTTTTGAGTCAATGAAGTGCTTTGAAATCTTATTGGTGCAGAAACGAACTCGCGTTGAGGGATTATAGGGGCCTATTTTGGTAGATATAGGATCATGCTTATTTTCTTGAATTGGCCTGCCAACTGCTCAATTCGACTTCCAAAGTGCATCCATATCGTGGGGGGATGAATCTTATGATGATCTTGTGTACATAGTAATATGAATTTAAAAAACAGCAGAGTCTGTTTCCGTACACGTGGCCGGGGACCATTGTTTCCCGCCTTACGTGCCCCCTGCCCTGACCACGCCCTCGCTCAGCTTTCCCATCTAGTCCAAGACAATTCCATTTGAGGAAAAGCCGAATGCCCCAGAGAAAGTTAGCACTGCGATCACTCCAGAACTAGAAAACCGACAGGGTGACTAATTCCTACACGGCAAAGGTCCACAATACAAGACGATCACATATAGTATAGCCTAAGGCTTGTTCAAGACTTACCCTCATCGTAGTGAGAGCCTATCAAGTCCTATCTGCATTTTTATA